ACTCCAAGACCAAGAAAGTCTTAACACAGATGTCCAACACACTAATATGGCATAGATGTTATAATTACCTGACAAGGCATGTTCACACATGTATGCGTGTGCATACACACACACACACACACACACACACACACACACACACACACACACCCCACAATTTCAGGAGAAATAATCAAAGGGAAGAGAACAATACAGTAACTGAAATAAGCTCAAGGATGGGCTCCAGAGTACAATGAAGGGAGGGAGGGGAAACTGACTGTGAACTTGAGAACACAACAAACCGAACAAAAGAAAATATCCAATATGATCAACAGATAGGGATTGAATTGTATCCACCTATCTCTTCCCACTCACCTCCAATTCATTATGTTGAAGCTCCACCCTTGTATTAGGCTTCTTCAGAGGAACAGAACTTACTTACAGAATGAATGAACACACACCCACACACACACACCCCCACCCCCACACACACAGAGAGGATTTATTAGAGTGGCATACAGCCAGTCCAACAATAGCTCGACCAACAGAAGGTCCACAAATCCAGTAGTTGCTCTGGCCACGAGGTGGGATACCTCAGCTGGTCTTCAGTGTGTGCTGAAATCCCAAAGAAATCGGCTCTAATGATAGGGAAGGAGTGGACATGCTAGCAAGAGGATACCAGCAGGCAAAGAGAGAGTCCTTCTTCCATGTCCTTTATATAGGCTGTCACCAGGTATAGTTCAGATTAAGGTGGATCCTCCCACCTCAAAGATCCAGATTAGAAGTGGGTCATCCCACTTCAAATGATTTAGTTAAGAAAAAAATCCCTCACAGGTACACCCAGTCATTTAGGTTGTAGGTAATTCCAGATGTATTTTAGTTGACAACCAAGAACAGCCATCACAACTCCCCAATGTGACTATAGCTGAAGATTGGCTTTCAGGAGGTAATTAAGGCTAAAAGAGGTTATAGGAGTAAGGTCTTAATCCAACAGGACTGCTGGCCTTATAAAAGCAAAGGAGAGCTCTCTCTCTCTCTCTCTCTCTCTCTCTCTCTCTCTCTCTCTCTCTCTCTCCCCTATATAGAGGTAAGGCCATATGAAGACCATCTTCAAATAAGGTCAAATAAGGAGGAGCACTCTCATCAGGAACTGAACCTTGCTGGACCTTGATTTTGGACTTCTAGCCTCCAGAACTGTGAGAAATAAATGTCTTTTGTTTGAGCCACTTAGTGTATTTTGCTATGGCATCCTGAGCCAACTAAGAATGTGGTACCAACAAACGGAGTTTTGCTATAGCAAACATTAAACATGCCTAAGCACCTCTGCAACGGGATAGTGGGGATAGGCCAGAAGAGTTCTGAGGTACATGCAGAATGGGAAGGCTGTTCTGGTGAGGACTTAGATGGCAGTGAGGAATGTGGTATTTTATTTATGCTTTAATAAATAAAGCTTGCCTGGAGATCAGAGGAAAAAGCCAGCCACAACACAGAAGTCAGGCAATGTTAGCACATGCCTTTAATCCTATCACTTGGCAGGCAGGATCTCTGTGTGTTCAAGGCCACACTGGAAACAGAGCCAGGTGTGGTGGCACATGTCTTAATCCAACACTAGTTAACCATGGAGGTCTGGAGGTCTGTAGAGACAGATAGGAAGTGACAGAGCTGGGCAGAAAGAAGAAGTGATGTAGCTGAACAGAGAGAGCAAATCAGATGGCAGAACAACAAGGCATATAGGCCTAAGTAGACAGGAAGTAACTCGCATTTGGAAGCTGCTGAGTTGGTGAGGTAAGTTTAGCTGTGACTTTCCCCATTTCCCTGATCTCTCTCAGGCTTTAACCCCTATATCCGACTCCATGTTTTTTATTTAATAAGACCATTTAGAAATTCATCTACAGAGGAACATGCTCTTGGAACTAGAGATGACCTTTTTATGATGTTAGACTTGTCTGATGAACACACTAGTGTTTTGTGGAAGGAAGCCCTTGAGAGTGATGGAACTGGCTATAGAGCAGCAACTTGTAGATAAGGTACCGGAAGGGAAGAGTGGAGTCTCACCTTTGTAGTTAAGATGTGCGATGGGACAGATGAACTAATGTGCTGGAATGTTAATCGAGAAGGAATGAGAATCTAAAGATATGGGGAAATTCTGCTCATGGGAAAACCCGAGAAAGTTTGCTAGGAAGAAAGTGCTAACGCTGTGTCTGGACAGCCATTTGATGAGATGGTGGGTACAGCTCCTGGGCTAATAAAATGATGGGCATAGCTCATAGGTGAATTCAACTAGTTCATCTTGGTTTCAACAGGCAAGATGGCCTTCAACATAAACCCGACAGTTGAGACTGCCCTGCAGAGCCCTGGGGATGGGGCTATCTGGCAGAGCCATAGAGGAAGGATTGTCACACTAACAGATTCATCAGCTGTGAATCAAGACAAAATGGAATATTCTCATATATTACAATCTAGTGCAATTTGCTGGGTTTTGAGCTTGCTTGGCATCCATCACCCATTCCTTCATTTGCATTTCTATCCTTTGGTGTAGGAATGTCTGCCTTATGCCTATCCTACCATAGTATTTTAGAAGCACATAACTTAGTCAGTTTCACGGGTGTATAGATTAGGATGGATAATCAAATATCTCAGTCATATCTGATTCAGGTGATAGACCAAACTTTGGACTTCAGACTTTATAGCTGGGGCTGGAATTTTAGACTCTGGAAATGGCTGGAGCAAAATGTATGTATTTCATGCATGGACATGAATTAGGTGGGAAGGGGCAGGAATGGCATGACAAGGAATACATTTGTGTCTCCTTAAAAAATGTGTACTGAAGGCCGAGCTCCTAGTGTAAACTGTATTTAGAAATAGGACTTCAAAGAGGTAATTAAGGCTAAGTGAGGTTATAAGAGTAGGGCCCTAATCTAATGGGACTGATAACGTAATGAGAGAAGTATCTCTCTCACCCTGTACATTCACTAACAAAAGTCTGCATGAAGACATATCAAGAAGATAATCATAGCCGGGCCGTGGTGGTGATGCCTTTAATCCTAGCACTCAGGAAGCAGAGGCAGGCAGATCTCTGTGAGTTCAAGGCCAGCCTAGTCTGCAAAGCAAGTTCCAGGGCAGTCAGAGTTACACAGAGAAACCCTGTCTCAAAAAACAAAAACAAAAACAAACCGAGAGAGAGAGACAGAATTCATCAAGAAGACATGATGGTGCAGGCCTATAATACCAGCATGTGGGGAGGGGATGCAGGAGGATGGGGACCATCTTCAGCTACATAGAGAAGCTGAAGCCAGCCTGGACTACATGCAACATAAGAGCCTTAGAAAACCAAAAAGGAGAGACAGCTGCCTGTGGGTCAGAAGTCTGGCAGGAAATGGAGTCAGATGGCACCCTAATCTTAGACTCTTCACGCTCCAGAACTCTGGGAGACACCTTCCTCGGACCACCTCATCTATGAGATTTTGTTTCAGCAGATCAAGAAGACTAATAGAAAAAAATGAATTAAAAAAAAAATGAACAGTCTCCGAAACTTGTGTGACTACAACCAGAGCTAACTGTTCAGCCATCCAAATCCAGAAATGGAGAGCAGGTAGGACAGTGGGCTAAAAAAATGTTATTTTGAAGAAATGGCACCAGGCTGAAAAATCCTCACGTTTGGCAAAGTTTCTAAACCTATGGATTGAAGCAGCCCAACAACTACAAAACAGTAATCCACACCGAGACACAGCACAGCGAAACCTGAAGGTAAAATAGCCACATTCAAATGGTGCTTCCAATACTAACCTTCGCCTTTTCAATTAAAAACGTGTATGTTCAAAGTCACCTGCCACTAGTCCAAGAGTTTAATGGAGAAAGGCAAGCCTATCAGTCTTCTCAAGGCTCTCACAATTAATGCAATGTTAGTGCAAATCTACAATTACATTTTCTATGGCATTAAAAAAATGCAAGGTACAAGCTACTTATGATTGAGGTAAATCTTTATAAATGAATATTCTTAGGTAATTCAAATAGTTTAAAACACACTGAACATACCAAAGGTCTCTTTTATAAACTAACTAAGCTGTAAGTTTTCAGCCTTGGAATTAAAATGATTCCAAGTATACATACATCTTAAAAGCTAGATAGACAAGAAGCACAGAAGCAGGCCTCCCTGCCAATAGTCCTCAGCTTTAGGGGAAAGTTGCCCTCACATGAGCTTTGAACAGAGCAGCCGTCAAGTCTACTATTTTTTTCTGGTTGTTAACACTAAGTTACTGCACCCATCACCCCTCAACTCTTTCCCCTGACCTTTCCATCTACTTCTTCTGTGTTCTTGTGCTTAAGGCTGAAGGACAGTAGTTCTACCATTCCGGATCCTAGGCACGCTCATTGTGAATTCTCAGTCTTTTATTTCTATTCCTAAAATGACCACGTGTTTCCTTAGAACTTATTTCCTCAGTGTTCAGAGACTATCTAGCACGAGTAAGATGTCTTCTTCCCACAATGCTGTATCCAACTCTCAAGCATGTGGCAATGCACACACGCATTAGGACGTTAGAAGAGAATTTCCTTTTGGTGTCTTCCATCCAGGAATTATTTTAAAAATGTAAACCTCGGGGCTGGAGAGATGACTCAGCAGTTAAGAGCACCAGCTGCTTTTCCAGAGGACCCAGGTCCAACCCCCAGCACCTACATGGCAGCTTACCACTGTCTGTAACTCCTGTTCCAGGGGATCCGATGCCCTCACACAGACCTACATGTGGGCAAAACACCAATGAACATAAAATACAAATAAATTATTAAAAAAGAATGACTTTTAAAAAATTTAAAACCTCCTTTCATAGCCTAAGTGAGTTATGTCCCACATTAGCAGATGCCTCAATAACTTATAAGATAATCATCTTAAATTTCTTTGTAGCCCTCATAACATATGGTAAATGCTCAAAAAAAATTCACTTTGAATGTAATACACTTATCCAGTATGGATTTTCTTTTGTTGGCCAAAGACTGAATGCTCACTGAAGGCTTGTCCATATGCCTTGTTTTTCCCTCCAGCATGAGTTTTCTGATGTTGAGAAAGAGATGAGCTCTGGCTAAAAGCTTTTCCACATTCTTTACACATATAGGGTTTTTCTCCAGTGTGAGTTTTCTGGTGTTTCATAAGAGATGAGCTCTGGCTGAAAGCTTTTCCACATTCTTTACACATACAGGGTTTTTCTCCAGTGTGAGTTTTCTGGGTTTCATAAGAGATGAGCTCTGGCTGAAAGCTTTTCCACATTCTTTACACATACAGGGTTTTTCTCCAGTGTGAGTTTTCTGGTGTTTCATAAGAGATGAGCTCTGGCTGAAAGCTTTTCCACATTCTTTACACATACAGGGTTTTTCTCCAGTGTGAGTTTTCTGATGACGAATAAGGGCTGAGCGGTCACTGAAGGCTTTGGTGCAGGCACTGCACTTATAGGGCTTCTCCCCAGTGTGAGTTCTTTGATGCTGAGTCAAGGCTGAACAGTAGCCAAAGGCCTTCCCACATTCATTACACTCATAAGGCCTCTCTCCAGTATGAGTTCTCTGGTGCTGAATAAGGCCTGAACGGTCACTGAAAGCTCTGCCACATTCATTACACTTGTAAGGTTTCTCTCCAGTGTGAATAACCTGATGCTGGGTTAGGAATGTGCTTTGGCTGAAGGCCTTCCCACATTCATTACATTCATAAGGTTTCTCTCCAGTATGAATTCGCTGGTGTTGAGTGAGGTATGAGCTCTGATTAAAGGCCTTCCCACATTCACTGCATTCATAGGGTTTCTCTCCAGTGTGAATTATGTGATGCCGAATAAGGGCTGAGCGGTGACTGAAGGCCTTCCCACATTCATGACACTCATAGGGCTTCTCTCCAGTATGAATTCTCTGGTGTAGAGTAAGGTGTATGCTCTGGCTAAATGCTTTACCACATTCATTACATTCATAGGGCTTTTCTCCTGTGTGAATTCTCTGATGCAAGACGAAGGCTGAGTAGTAACTGAAGGCTTTCTCACACTCGTTACATTTCCAAGGTTTCTTTCCTGCACAAGTTTTCCCCTGTTTAATCACAGCTGAATTTTTAAAGTTCTTAGGCAAACCACAATTATGAAGTCTCTCTCCTTGGTGTTGAACAAGTAATGACCACTGACTAAAATTTCTCATAATTTCATCACATTGGTAGCTTCTCTTCACAGAAAGTCTCTTCTGAGGGACCAGCTCTCGTATTGGGTGTTTTTCATGGTTTTCCTGCTGGTTTTCTAAAGAGTCTTCACAGTCCCTGGACCTTTCCTCTGGAAAACTCTCCAGTAACACTCCAGGGGATGATTCCTCTTCAGAAAAATGCTTCTCTTGAGTTAGCTTCTTGCTTTCTGGTACTGTTTCCCACTCTGAAAGACAAATTACATACAAAGAGAAATAACAAAACAAACAAAAAATGCTTGCAGAAAACATAGAAACTGCAAAGTCCTCAGAGTCTTGCACTGTTGAAAGGACATGAAAAAATGGCTGACTGAGAAAAGATGCTGCAAAAAGGGAAGGGGTGAGAAGCCAGCCAACACTGCTTTAGTCAGCAAGGTAGGGAATGAAGAATAGTGACAGAACAAGGCCAAGCAGTGGGGACTCGAGGAATGACACAGAAATAAAACAGGGTCTGGAGGACACATGGATGAGCTAATAAAAAGCCTCTAGGGACTCACTCATTGTACTCACAGACTCAGACTCATTGTACCCACAGACTCAGACTCATTGTACCCACAGACTCAGACTCATTGTACTCACAGACTCATTGTACCCACAGACTCATTGTACCCACAGACTCAGACTCATTGTACCCACAGACTCATTGTACCCACAGATTCATTGTACCACAGACTCATTGCACCCACAGACTTATTGTACCCACAGACTCAGACTCATTGTACCCACAGACTCATTGTACCCACAGACTCATTGTACCCACAGACTCATTGTACCCATGGACTCATTGTACTCACGGACTCATTGTACCCACAGACTCATTGTACCCACAGACTCATTGTATCCACAGACTCATTGTACCCACAGACTCATTGTACCCACGGACTCATTGTATCCACAGATTCATTGTACCCACAGACTCATTGTACTCACAGAGCCCTTCACTACGTCCCTGAAGAAAGACCATCTTTAGCTTCCCTTCTTGCTCTAATCTTTTCCCATGCTCTTATGTCCTAATTGTGACTAAAAACTAATCTTTCAAAATCAGTCCTCTTACAAGTACACACACACACACACACACACACACACACACACACACACACACAAATTGGTTGTCACTGTTTCAAAATAAGACACAAATTCTAGAAGCTAGTATTCAATGTTGTATGGCTCTACCAATTCACATGTAGAAAAAATATAGCATTGGAAAAGTTAGCAACTCATTGAAGAACCCAGGAAAACAATGCTTCTTCAATTATACAAGGATATGGCCAAAGAAATATAAATTTGCTAGTAATCTATTGTAATAATCCATCTTGACAGAAGTAACACAACATCATTAAAAAAAATACCATAGTTAATCAATAGCATTCATTTGCTTAGCATATAGGGGGTGCAGTTTAAACACTTTCTATCCTACTTGAACCTCATCACAGTGAGTGAAGAGCTGTCGTTTTACAGCTGGAACACTTGACTCACAAAGAGGGTAACCCACTCTTTAAAGATCACAGAAATACTGATTACCTAAGATCAGCTTTGAACCCAGAAAACTGGTTTCAAAGTCTGTACCCCGAACCACGATGCCATGCTACCTCTGCTTGTATAGGGAAAACACAGAAACCAACCAATAATCAGTGGACTAAGACAGAAAAAAAAATCACTATACTGTAAATATAAAACAGCATGTGAAAAACGACAGTCAAGTAATGTAGGAGGCACAAAGGTCTCTGCGCTCACAGATATGCATTAGGGAAACCAGGAGTATTAAACATAGAGGGTTGTCTCTTCAAAGGGAAAGATGTATAGCCTGTTTTTTTGCCCAGAAGGCTGGGGGGCAGAGATAGTTAACAGCCTGATGGCCTTTGCACTACCCGTGTGGCATTTCCATGGGTAGAGGCAATCCCAACAGGCTCCTCCACAAGCATTTACATGACCATCTGAGTTATATTCCCACTGTCTCCAAGAGTCACTCACCTGGACTGGCTGCTTTTGAGACATCCCTCTCCAGTTCTTCCCTATGCTCCAACTGAGAGATCACATCAGGTTTGGAAATTGGAAGCCCTGTTCACAAGGAAAGGAAAGGGGTCTGGTAAAGAGTGCCCTGATGGCTCCCTGGTCTTTAGGAAAGATGTGGGGAATGGGGAAGAAGGAGAGAAGAAAGGGAGCAGGGAGGGGCCAGTTTTGGATTTCTTCAACAGTGCTTAGAAGAAGGTAGAAAACGGGGCTGGCGAGATGGCTCAGAGGTTAAGAGCACCAACTGCTCTTCCAGAGGTCCTGAGTTCAATTCCCAGCAACCACATGGTGGCTCACAACCATCTGTAATGAGGTCTGGCCCCCTCTTCTGTATACATAATAAATAAAAAAATCTTAAAAAAGAAAAAAGAAAAAGAAGAAGGTAGAAAAGTTGATATGGGTTTGGCCTAGTTAGGGTTACTATTGCTGTGATGAAACACCATAACCAAAGCAACTTGGGGAAGAAAGGGTTTATTTGGCTTACATTTCCACATCACTATTAATCTCCTAAGGAAGTCAGGATGGGAACTCAAACAGGACAGGAACCTGGAGGCAGGAACTGACACAGAGGACATCCCTTCCTGGCTTGTTCCTCATGGCTTGCTCAGCCTGCTTTCTTATAGGACCCAGGACCACCAGCCCAAAGACGGCCCCACCCACAGTGGGCTGGGTCCTCCTTCATCAGTCACTAATTAAGAAAATGCCCTACAGTCAGATCTTATGGGGGGCATTTTTTCAATTGAGGTTCCCTCCTTTCAGATGACTCTAGCTTGTGTTTACATAAAACTAGCCAGCAGAGGGTTTATTTGAGTTCAGAACCATTAAATCACTCGTTTTTTAACCTCACTATAAAAATAAATATCTATTCTCTTAAGAGTTTCTTTACCAGAGCTTTGTCTTGACACCCTTGCCTAGGGAGTAGAAAAGGGTACTTACTATAGTATATAATATATAGGCTATAATAATTCTAGAAGTAGTGAAAGTAGAACCAGAAACAAAAAGCAGGGGCTCTGTCAGGACTTACAAAGACTAAGAATCTTTGGAACTAAGAGCCTCAGAGCTCCTAGAAACCCGGGCAGTAAGGTACCGAGCTAGGTAACTCACAGGGAGAGAGGCACCATCCTTACCCAGCAAAACCAGATTCCTGCGCTTCTTAGGCACATCTTCCTGAGAAGGGTTCAGCTTTCCCCACTGGGTGAGAGCCTCAGCCATATTCTTGATCAGCAAGTCCTGAAAAGCCAAATACACCAATGCTTACTAATGGCCTCTAGCCAGAGACTCCCCCACCCCCAGAAAGAACCACTGATAGTGGAGGAGGGTGACAGGAAGGGTAGACAAAATGACTCTCACATCCTTTTTAACATTAAGACTCTTTGGCATATTTGTGCTCCACAGGTTTGGGTTTTTTTTTTTTTTTTTTTGTCATTTTGCATCAGAATTCCTGTTACCTATTGGCAGCACCTTCCAATTCAAAACTCGAAGGCAAGGAGTTTCTAGTTTCTGTGTTGTTGACTTAAAGAACTGTGGAGCTGCTTACTATGTATTCAGGGAGAGGACCCAAAAGTATCACACTTTCTTTGCAGTATGGTTTTTAAAACACAGGGAGTTCACAAAGGAGAAAGTGCTTCTCTCTTTAGTTTTTCTTTCCCAGTCCATTATATGTTAAAAATCAACATGCTTGCCAGGCAGTGGTGGCGCACGCCTTTAATCCTAGCACTAGGGAGGGAGAAGTAGGTTAATCTCTGTGAGTTCGAGGCCAGCCTGGTCTACAGAGGAGTTCTAGGACAGTTCCAGGGCTACACAGAGAAACCCTGTCTCAAAAAAACCTACATAAATAAATAGATGAACAAACATGTTTGCTGCATGTGCCACAGAATATGGATTTACTCAAACTCAAATAATCATGAAGTTCCCCAAATGTTCCAGTCCTTTTCCACAAAGCACTGATAAGCAGGGCCTGGCCCCACATTGACTCTTCTTCCTGCACTCATCCTTCTAAGTCCCCGGTCGGTGGCTGCCATTCAGCTGTTGGAAATGTGTGTCACACTGCCTTGTGCAGCTTGGTGTATGCCGCTCCCTGTTCCAAGGGCTTTCCCTGCTCCATCCTTTCAGACATTTGACTCCTACTCACACCAGATCACACCTAACCGCTACTCACACCAGCTCTCACCTGACCACTACTCACACCAGCTCTCACCTGATCGCTACTCACACCAGATCTCACTTAGGTTTTCCTCCACAGACAGCCTTGCCTGCTGGGTTGCAGCGTCACGCTCACTCTCTTCCCTTAAGTCACATGCATAGAAAAAACTTTAGGATTCATGTCTGATTGTCTCGTTGCTTTCTTTTTAAATTTTATGCATGAGTATTTTGATGACATATATATATATACATATATATATATATGTATATATATATGTATGTGTGTGCCCAGTGCCTGAGGAGGCTAGTAAAGGATGTCAGATCTAGAACTGGAGTTATAGACAAAGATGTGGGCTGCCATGTGGATGCTGGGAACCAAACCCAGGTACCCTGCAAGAATAGCAAGTACTGTTAACCACTAAGCCTCTCTCCAGCCCTCTGAACTGAAGTTTTATGGCATCTACCACCATCGGCAACTATATACCTGGTTTGATGTTTCCCAGAAGCTGGGTATGAAAAGGACTGCCAGTCTTCCAGAGTCTACAGAGATATCCTTATTATTTCTTTCTAATCAGTTATGGCACGTTTTCTATTGCTGGGACTCTGAAAATGTTCACATGGCCTATGCAGCTTTGGAGGAAGACACAGTATAGATTTTTCCCCTGTGGTCTGGCTATATAACACATCCTCTTTAGACATTACCTCATCCCACAATGACACACACTCCTTGATCTCTCCAATCACTTATAGACACCTTCCCTCCAAACAAAGCTCTTCTCTCTTGAAATACCCCTGTATTCTATTTTCCAACTGCCAACTACCTTCCTTGGTTTTTCAAAGTGAACTTTTATCTTAAACCCCTTTCAAATAGTCTAGTTGATGGACATCCTCCAGGGTCATTAATAACTTGTCAGAGACAATAATTCCTGCATTTAAAATACAGATTTATAAATGTGTTCCTTTGTAGAGACCCACAGGGGTTTCCTAGTGAGAACTTACTCAGGGTCTGAGAGGCTGAGCCTTCTTTACCCAGCAGGGCTGCGTAAGGGGTGATTTGACCATGGGTGTGGTTACCAGGCGTTTGGAAGGGTCTACACTTGGCTGTGTGGTGTGCTTTGATCTAGCAAGGGGGAGGTCTTCCCCCCCCCCTCCGCCCCTTGGCATTGTTATAAAAAAGCCTTTTTGAAGAGACCGACAGGGCTGTTGGATTATCCAGGTCCTCCCGAAGCTATCCTGTGTTTCTGTCTTTCTCCTCTCTGCTATCTTTCTACCTAAAAGTTTCTTATCCCTGCTGTGGGATGTTCTGTATGGCAAATGTGTTGCTAATTAGTCAATAAATAAAACACTGATTGGCCATTGGCTAGGCAGGAAGTGTAGGCGGGACAAGGAGGAGAATAAAGCTGGGAAGTGGAAGGCTGAGTCAGAGAAACACTGCCAGCTGCCACGATGAGAAACAGCATGTGAAGATGCCGGTAAGCCACGAGCCATGTGGAAAGGTATAGATTAGTGGAAATGGATTAATTTAAGCTGTAAGAACAGTTAGCAAGAAGCCTGCCATGGCCATACAGTTTGTAACCAGTATAAGTCTCTGTGTTTACTTGGTCGGGTCTGAGTGGCTGTGGGACTGGCAGGTGAGAGAGATTTGTCTTGACTGTGGGCCAGGCAGGAAAACTCTAGCAACAAATGGCGTCCAACGTGGTGGCAAGAGTTTCCACCTAAAAACTGAGAAAAAAGATTCTAAAATGGAGCTAAAAACAGTTCCTAATTGTCTTTCTCAAATGAGCGGCAGCTGCCGGTTTGAGCTACTTGTGGGTTCCTGGCATGCGCGCTCGACCTGCAGTATGGCGGGAATGAGGCCTCTGCAAGTGGCACATTAAGCTATGTGGTGGATTTAGCCTTTGCAGGTACAAAACAAAAAAAAGAGGTTTCTGGGCTACACGCTGCTTGGATAAAAGCATAGACCCACGATAGCTCCCAGAGCTGGTGGTAAACGTAGCCATGTTGGGAAGCTGAGGTGGGTGGAGACAGCAGCCACAGCTGCTGCAGTTTAAGGCAATAGATTCACAATAAGACAGATTCAGATGTAATAGTTTACAATGTGTATGAAAGATACGTAGGCTTGAAAGAGACAAAAAAGATGATATATAGAGTTATAGAAACAAATACATAGTTTTAAAAAATAAAGTCTTTAAAGAGACAGTAAAGGTAGTATAAAAAATAAGCCACGTAAAAATGGATATTACACAGAGAATCTGCATTGTGTTGTCTTTGGGACTTTTAACTGCAGAAAAACATTTGATTGTAAAAGCTGTTGAGTTATGCCAAAATGTATATTTTAAAGGTACCTTGACTTCAAAATTTGGATATAAGGATATGTTGCTTTGGAAAGGAAACTCTGCTTTTGTTTCCACAGAAAGCCAAAGGCTATGGATTTGTTCCAGATTAAGATACATCAGGTTTGACCAGCCAAGACCCCCTGAAAGGTCTCCGATGACACCATGGCCCAGATGATCCAACATCCAGAATGATTTGAAGGCAACTGGCTCAGACGATACACCCTCATGGACTATTCTATAATTCTAAAATTTTCTTTGTATCCCCATAAGATACAGCGCCCCCCTCCAGCAGGAAGTAGTAAGAGAAGCTACGCCCAAATTCCCAAATTATATGTAATTTTACTTTGTTAAGGTTAAAACCTTCCTTTTTGAAAAAAAAAGGGGGGAAGTGCTGTGGGATGTTCTGTATGGCAAATGTGTTGCTAATTAGTCAATAAATAAAACACTGATTGGCCATTGGCTAGGCAGGAAGTGTAGGCGGGACAAGGAGGAGAATAAAGCTGGGAAGTGGAAGGCTGAGTCAGAGAAACACTGCCAGCTGCCACGATGAGAAACAGCATGTGAAGATGCCGGTAAGCCACGAGCCATGTGGAAAGGTATAGATTAGTGGAAATGGATTAATTTAAGCTGTAAGAACAGTTAGCAAGAAGCCTGCCATGGCCATACAGTTTGTAACCAGTATAAGTCTCTGTGTTTACTTGGTCGGGTCTGAGTGGCTGTGGGACTGGCAGGTGAGAGAGATTTGTCTTGACTGTGGGCCAGGCAGGAAAACTCTAGCAACATATCCCTCTCTCCTCGCATCCTTTAAAAGGTGGGAGCTGGCCTCCCACACTCCTTCATGCTGTTTATGTATCTATAGTCTCCTGCTTCAGCAAGCACCATGAGACAGGGCATGTGACTTTGCATTTCACATGGCCATTTACAGTAGTGAGTGGCTAGAACATGCACAGTAAAGTGGATGGCCAAGAAGCAATACTGGGAAGGAAAGTTCTAAGTGAGGAACATTTCCTGTAAGGTTCATTACGCAGTCTCTCAGGATGACCCCAGTGGTCTGGCAAATAGGGCAGAGCAAGTATTAAGAAGAGAAGAAAACATATGCATGCGAAGAAAAGAACCTATAGACTTACCTGAGTCCCGAGAGTTGGGAACACATTGGTTATGCCATTTTCTTTTGGTTTTCCAGCACTGGGAGAAGGTGAGTCCTCAGAAAGGGAGCCTAGAAGTGGAGACCAGGAGCCACGGCAATTAGTCCAGCCCCTAGGCACTAGCTACCTTGCCTAAAGTTAATACAGGGAACAATCCCATAACACCCCCGATACAAGACAGTTAATGTGGGTTTCTATCTCAGGTTCCTCCTGTACACCTTTGCACTTACTACAGTAGAACTCTCCTATGAGAATCTGAATACATTATACAAATATATAGTTCTCTTTCATCTGCTTAGTCAAAATAATAAAGATCTCTGTGCGTGACCTGTGCCTCACTTAATGATTCATCTCTGTTGTTCTCCAGGCTCAAGGGATGAATGAAGACGGAATTAGTTTTATTCTTTTTGACCACTCACTGACTTTTCAGATGCAATTTGTGTGGAAACATCTAAAGCATTTAAAATCCCAAAACAATTAAAACCCCAAACCCAAGCAAAAAGAATTCTAAATAACACCTGGGAGTTTTCAAATCCAAAATGGGTTAGTCTCTTTCCTTACAGAGTTCCCGCGAAGACAAAAGCAAGTCGGTGTCAGAAGCCGAATTGTCAAAGTGGTGGGTTTTAGGGAGGGCTGGCTGCCCGTCATCGAGATGACCAATGGATGAAGTAGCTGGCTCTCCCTCAGAACCCCAATGTGGGACCCAGAAACGGGAAGCCACGGGCTCCCTCCGCTTTACTCACAGCGCCTCACCTTGGACCGGGCTCCACCGAGGCTGTCTAACCGCCCGCACCCTGCTGACCGCCAGGGAAGGGCGTGAGTACGCCGCTAGGGTGCAGCTAGAAGCAGGGCGCACCCGGATCCTTCAGCGTGCTCCGCAAACTCGGGGGGAACCGGGCTTGGCCTTCCATGCCAAGCTGTCCTCTCACCGCCTGCAGAGGTACCTGAGAGCCCTGGGCAGAGCCGCGCCAGCTGGCTGCCCAACTGAACTACAACTCCCAGAATTCCTCTGCACATAGCACCTCGACTCCGCACGCCGCTTCCCAGAGGACCTCGCGGGGGCGCCCTCTACTCCTGCACGAGCGTTAAACCTTCTCACTTTTCTACGGTCCATGCACATGTTCCCGCATTGTTTCCAGTTCGTCCCTCCACGCAGGCGTTGTGCTCTCAGCGCACCAAACCGCGTGCCGCGGGACCCTCGTTCTGGGTGACTGTATCCTGGAGGATCGCGCCTCTTACCCGTGCAGGCTGCCCATTTTTCCGCTTTAAGGGGAAATGCCTGGATGCATCCCCTACTGGGTTGTTTGGACCAAGCATTCACTTTTTTTTTAAATTTTAAAAGCACATTTATTTATTTATGTATTTATTTGGAGATATGACACAAAGTGCGTGTGGCGGTCAAAAGACAACTTGCCAGAGTAGTTGTCTATATATGAGTCCAGCTTGATTGCAGGCACTTTTATCCACTGTGCCAAAGCTTGTAACTGGGAACTGATACTTGTGAAATGACTAAAGTCCAAACTTTGTGTCTGCCTAGACACTTCTCAGCCTCTCACCCGCAACAGCCACATCCACGTTGGTGATGCTTTTAGGACTGTCCGTGACCTGGACCATGGCCCAGATGTATTGTAGTGTCTGGAAGATACTGCTGAACTCTACAAAGAAAGCAGATATTACTAGGCCCGGATTCCCTCAGTAATGTAACATTAACATCCCCCTCCGCCAGCACTGATGTTGTTGTGGTTTTGTCTTTAAAAAACGCTATACCCCTGAGCTTGGACACCAAGAGACTTCAGAGGCACAAGCTCACTCTTTGTCTGGCCATTAACAAAAGGACTCAAAACTTTTTTTTTTAAAAGATGTATTTATTTATTACGTATACAGTGTTCTGACTGCATATATGCCTGCTGGCCAGAAGAAGGCATCAGATCTCACTATAGATGGTTGTGAGCTACCATGTTGTTGCTGGAAATTGAACTCAGGACCTTTAAAGAGCAGTCAGTGCTCTTAACCGCTGAGCCATCTTCAGCCCAGAACTCAAAACTTTTAATTGGCTTAATTAGTGTGATTGTCAATAACTAGCTCACATGGATCATTTCAGTTGCCCTTGCCCTTAAATTGACTGATCTTGTAAAATTTGCTGTTTTAGCAAGATGGTAGGTCACAAGAGTAACTGCTATTTCTGCTTTTGTAATCAAACTTGCTTACTCTATTAAAAAAGATTACTAGGACAACTGCAAGACATTTATGTTGAAAACTAGACCCTGCCTACATGTAGACAAAATATATGTCATCTTGTGAGTTTTGCTTTTATAAGCCCTGGGCTGTTATAGCTAGGTACTGCATCTTGAGAATGCTCTCAGGTGCAGTCCTGGCCCCACATGGACTCCAGTATCTTAAATCAAAAGCCTCTCCTTATTAAAGTTTATTTATTGTCATGGTAAATCTCTGAGCAACCCCAGACCCTTAACATCACCACATGCAAGACTTTTCCTTGATCCAGACCATGGCCCAGTTGTATAACCAAAACAACTGTGTCTACTAAAACAGATGTTACCAGGTTCCCCTGACCTATACCTGACAATGGTATCATTATGGTTTTTGCCCACATTGTATACCAGAACTTCAGTGCTGAGAGTTCTTTGGGGACAAGAGCCTCCTCTTGGTCACTGCTGATAAATGACTGAAATTAGGGTTTACATGCATGGTAGTTTGCTACTTTCTCCCCTGAACTATAACAATATATAACTATATATATATAAAACTATATATATAACAATTTATAACGATGTATAATATATAACTATATATAACTATGTATATATAAAACTATATAATGATATATAACTATATATATAAAACCACATATATAACTATATAAGTATATATATATATAATATATAACAATATATAACTGTCACAATATACCTACAAGAGCTCTGGGACTCTGTAGATGGTGAATCTTCAGCTAGTGTATTCTCACCTATCTTCCTACAGGAAACTAGCCAATTTGATAGCCAGTTTATATTTACAGAAGAAAAAAATTTGATCTACCCATGTATCTGGGAACAAACCATAATGTCCAATGTCATTTCTTCAATATAATGGCCAAATCTTAGATCTAATGCTTCTTAGACTAAAACTCCCTTTTCTCATTATTTCTCTTCCTGTCAGTGGGCTGAGAACAAAAGTGCTTCTTGTGGCCGGGCGGTGGTGGCGCACGCCTTTAATCCCAGCACTCGGGAGGCAGAGCCAGGCAGATCTCTGTGAGTTCGAGGCCAGCCTGGACTACCAAGTGAGTTCCAGGAAAGGCGCAAAGCTACACAGAGAAACCCTGTCTCGAAAAACCAAAAAAAAAAAAAAGTGCTTCTTAGGAGTTCCACGATATCAATAAACCAGGCCCGATCACTTACTCCCCCCCGCCAAAAAAAAAAAAAAAAAAAAGAAAAAGTAAGAAAAGTAAAAAGAAAAGTCAGTCAGATGTAAACAAACCAACCAACCAACCAACAAACAAATAAATAAAAAGAAGTCAGATGTAAACGCTGTCTTTGGGTATGGGAGGTAGTAGCTGTGGGCTATAAAGGGGAAACAACGAAGGAGAAACTGAGGGTCTGCACAGCTTGTGACCACAGGTTGCAAACTCATTGACCAGTAGCCTGGGCTGACGGCAGGGTCTTACAAGCCCCAGAGATTGCTGTTGCTCTGGGAGTGCAGAGCAACTTTACAAAAGGAAGCTATGAACTGACCTCCCCACCGTTTTCAGTCACTTTCCCCAAAAGTCCATCAGGATTCTGGATTTGCCCCAATCTGATCTCACTGATAACGGCAGTATCTTAAACAAATACAATACTCATACTCAATTTATTCAAACAAGGAAAAACGCAGAACTCTCAGAGTCAAAAGACAAGTGTGCCAATAGTCCCTTTAGTTTTTACTTGACATTATGAAACATTACGTATTATCTACACACAATCCCTGTGGTATTTTTAAGCTGCTTATAAATTACATAAATACACACATACAATGTATTCCCTGACACTTTTCTGCTTTAAGAGAGACCAAAATAAATTTATGTTTAGTAGCATGGGAGAGGACTATTTGGCAATTCTGCTTCCTCTCAGTTCCACTTTGATCAACTGGAATACAACGACTTTTTCCAGACCTTACCTTGCAAAAAGGGAATACTGATTCCCAAAGTCAAGGTTGCTTCATATCTGACCTTTAATACAATAAAAATACAGAGTTTCACCTAGGAAATAGATGCATTTGGGTACTCAGGTGTTGCTTTTATCTAAGTTGTTTTATTTACTGAGTCAATAAAGACCTGGGAGTCAGATATTGGGGTGAAAACCTGCCAGATCAGAGAAGCAACCAGCTGAACTTTCTTTTTGGCCGGAGACCCAGCAGGATAACTTCTCTCCATACCATCCAAAAACAAAAAGAACTGTGGATCTCTAAGTCCACCCTACTTCCTGTGTGTGTCTGTATCCATCTTCCCAGGTCCTCCAAATGCTCTATGGCTAATTCTTGTCAACTAATCACTGGCTCTGCCCCCTGCTCTAAGTTAACTTTATTAACGCAGTCTCCAAGTTTCACAGTGTGATCAAATATCCTGCAACACCCAGGATCTGAAGTTTGGTGATGGGGGAGTGTATTAAAGAAGATTTTAAATATCCAGAGATATTTTATTATATAGAGAGCTATGTTGGATCTGGAATAATGGGCAGAAAGGGGCCACGTGGCTTTCACACAGACTAAGCTAAGTGATGTGCAAAACGTAGTGGCTTCTAGTGTCATCCAAATATCAAGGTGCCTGCTTGTGTCCCTACCCTTCAGGTGTGGATTGCAACTGGATTGGCACCAAGATGATAAGAATATTCTTTAGCTTTCTTCCTTATTCGTAATGTGTGGGTCCCATGTGGTATAGATTGGTATCATTGAATGAACAGAATGATACACACCAGATGAGAGACACAGGTCTTTGTTTACCTAGGCTTCTTTGTTACTGTACCACAGCTTAGTATAGATCTCTTGAGCAGTGAAGAAGGAAGAAACAGAACTTGGAAGTGACTACTAGGATGCTATAGGCTGGATTGTGAAAACTCAGAAGGTGGACCCAAGCAGGGTTTGAATACGTTTGGTATTCATTAGATAAACATTTATTGAGCAACCTAATGTTTGCAAGGCACTGTGTAAGATTCAGAGATCTATTAAATCACACCTACAAGTGCTTACAATCCAGTTGAGAAGACAATTCAGGTATATAAATTATAAGACAAAAGTTAAGAGCATGCTTAATAGAAACACTGAAGGCAGACCCATACTAAAGACCTGGTTTCACCTTGTGTTGTCTAGGGTATGTTCCTAATCTGTCTAAACTTCAGCGTGCTCATCTGTGAAATTCAGATAGCAAAAGGACTTGTTTCACAGCATGAGGACCAGCTGATCTTGTCCTTGAGTGGAATGTGGTGGTTTGAATGAGAATCGCCCCCACAGGCTATTTGAATGTTTGGGTCCCAGCTGGTGGAGTGTTTAGAAAGGATTAGGGAGTGTGGCTTTGTTAGAGGAGGTGTGTCACTGGGGGTGGGCTTTGAAGTCTCAAAAGCCCATGCCAAGATCAGTGTGTCTGTCTGTCTGTCTGTCTGTCCCTATATCTTGGCCTACTGCTTGTGGATCAGATGTGAGCTCTCAGCTACTGCTCCAGCACCATGCCTGCCTATCTGTTGCCATGCTCCCTGCCACGATGGTCACAGAGTCACCCTCTGGACCTGTAAGCAAGCTCCCAGTTAAAAGCTTTCTTTTATAAGTTGCCCTGGTTATCATGTCTCTACACAGTAATAAAAAAGTAGCTAAGACACCTGGCTTCACCTTGTGTCACCCAGAGTATATTACTTAATCTCTCTAAACTTCATTGTGCTCATCTGTGGAAGTCAGACAGCAAAAGGACCTGTTTCACAGGTTTAGTTAGAGGATCAGTCAGTCTAGCCCTTCCAAAATTCTCTGCTGAGTGTTTACCCCAAGATAAGTGCTTAGTTAAGTGCTACCACTACTACCAGTATTAAGAGGGCTAAATGCTAGGGCACAAGAGAACAAGGTCTGTGTTCCAAAAAGCTTCTGAAGGACTAAAAGCTATAGAAACTTCTGGAGAAAATGGTCTTCTCGCATAATTGTGACATTCCCCCCTGTAACAGCCTGCAGCTATTTCAAGTGCAGTGACAAGGGACCTATGTTCTCCTAAGGTTATGTCTGCAGACTCCCTCCTAACATCCATCCTGCTGTCTGACAATCTCTCCAACTTTCTTTCTCAGTGCTGGGGATGGAACAGCAGGCCGCATACTTACTAGGTGGGATTCTATCACTGAGCTACACCCAGCCTCTGTCCAAAATTCTGAATCTGGAGATTCATGTTTTAGTTTCTGCACTCCACATCAGTTCTGTAGCACAGTAGATATGCTGTTTACTCAGACACTGTGGAGCAGAGGTGGGACCGATGAGGGCAGCCAGAGTAGATAGAATGAGCAAATGCTGGGTTTGTAGATGACAGGGAGACCTACCAAGTTTATAGGAAGGCCCTTTGCGTAGCTCACGCTTCTCCCCTGGTCAGTCTGTCCCTTGTTTGGCATAACGCCTCTGATGCTGAATAACTGAGGACTTGAAGCTGAACTCTTTTCCACACACACTACACTCAAAGGGTTTCTCCCCTGTATGAACTCTCTGATGCTGTGTGAGCCGGCACCTCTGGCTGAAGGCTTTCCCACACTCGCTGCACTCATATGGCTTGTCTCCAGTGTGTATCTTCTGGTGCTGTGTGAGAGAAGAGCGGTCAAAGAAAGCTTTGCCACACTCGTTGCACTGATGGTGTGGTTCCCCAGCATGCGCTTTCTGGTGTCGGTTTAGGGAGGAGACACCATAGAACGCTTTCCCACACTCACTGCATTCATATGGCTTCCTGCCAGTGTGGATCAGCTGGTGACGACTGAGAATGCTTTTCTGGCTAAAGGCTTTCCCACACTGCTGACATTCATAGGGACTCTCCCCAGTGTGAATTCTCTGGTGGCGAGTAAGGGATGATCGGTCAAAGAAGGCTTTGCCACACTCACTGCATTTAAAAGGCTTCTCTCCTGTGTGAATCCGCTGATGCACAGTTAGGGATGAACGGTCAAAGAAGGCTTTGCCACATGCACTGCACTCATACGGGCTCTCTCCTGTGTGGGCCATCAGATGTCTGCTGAGACTGCTCCTGTGACTGAAGGCCTTCCCACACTCAGGACAGTCATAGGGCTTCTCGCCAGTGTGAGTTCTCTGGTGGCGGATGAGTGAGGAATGGTCAAAGAAGGTCTTCCCACAGTCACTACACTCCTGGTCCTGGTGTTTAGGGAGGATTTTCTTGGATGGGGCTGACCTTCGCTGCAAGCTTTTGTCCGAGGAAAGGGGTTTCTTGCCAGTGTCTGCTTTAGGACTTTCCTTTTCTGGTTCCAACCCACCTGCTAGTGCTTGAACTTCAAGTTTAGGGCAGAGAGGACTTGGCCTTCTAAGGCTTTCTCTCAGTGTTCCTTCTGAAGCAGCTAGGGTCTCAGGCTTAGTCTCCCAGTCTGCAACAAAGAGAAAATGCAGATGCAGTTTCTTCTCTGGACTGGGGGACAATGGCAGATGTAAAGGTAATACTTGGTCACAGCACAGCTCACTTCCCAGATGGCCTTACATGCTGGGAAAGCCTAAGGCTTGGGAATAAAGGAGGAGGCAGGGAAGGGCTGTTACAACAGACTTCTCAGAACACAGGAGAACAGCTCTGGGAGTGGAGGCAATAGCTTAATTAGGGTGGGCTGAACAGAGACCTGGGAGACCAATAAAAATAAAAGAGGTGTACACAGGCAAGGTGACAATTCTGAGAAACAAGCTGATGAATACAGATAACTAATATGTTGATGTATAGAAGGGGGAACCAGAGAATTGGTGAGTAACAGGAAGAAAACATGCAAACAGACAACTTGAATTTGAGAAAAGGGTGACCCCTAATATTCCTCCATACCCAAATAACAAACAAATTTGGTTACCTAGAGAGACATTCTCTGGCCATTCTTTCTCCTCAGACCCATGACGACCCTGTGTCCATGGCTCGTCCCTTCTCTTCAACTGAAGAATCACATCAGGTCGAGGCACAGGAAGCCCTGCTCATGGAGAAAACGTAAGGCAGGTGGTTGCTGTGATGAAAATGCCTAACCATTCCAAAACTTAATCCTGGCATCTAAGTCTAGACCCTTCCAGAAATGCAGAACGCAGACCCAAGACACCGCTGAGGGAAGGTCTGGACTGAGGCTCTTGAAAGGAAGAGACGCCAGGCACCAGGACAGTGCCCACCAACACCAGGCACCAGGACAGTGCCCACCAACGCCAGGCACCAGGACAGTGCCCACAAAAGCCTCCTCAATTCACAGCAGCCTACGGAAGCTCTCCATCTGGACACTGGCAGCACAGAGTCTCTTGGCTCCATAGGTGAGTATAAGAAAAAAAAAAGGATCATCTTGACTGAAAAAGCATAAAGAGGGAACTCAATTTTGTTTGTTTGCTCATATTTAGTATATTGCTTTTATGGAAACAAGTCGGTTGTATTCACTGTAGGAAAATTAGAGTTATCTTCAAGTAAAAAGGAAAATCACCTTTCATGCCTTCTACTGATATTTCTTTATTTTTCCTCATTTTGATGCTGAAAGGCCTTATATGTGACGTGTTAAAGACTGGATATTGGGGGGCTGGTGAGATGTCTTAGTGGGTGCACCAGGCCTGCTGAACTGGGTCACTCCCTAGAACCCACATGTTAAAGGAGAGAACCCACTCCCTCAAGTTGTCCTTCCATCTCCACACACATGCTCTTGCACATGTTATGCCCCAAGTAAATAAAGAAGAAATGTAATGAAATGTTATAAGAACTTTAAAAAAATCGAATAAGGAAATACTGCTGACTTGTAAACTGAAGTTCTTTTCATGTAGTAAATTTAAAACATTAATTTTATTTAGCACAGATTTTCTACAATGTTTTCATGGCTATATGACAGTACATTGTATGGATAAATAATTTAGGAAATCCCTATCGACAGACATTTTACTATTTTTAATGTTTTGCTATTAATACACAATAGTACGGGAACTGTCCCTTGGCGTGCTGTATGAATTGGCAATCCTATGACATTCTTTGGATCAATTTCTAGAAGCAATCATATCCATAGCCATATGAACAAAATTAGATCCCACTCCTGGAAACACCTGAGCTCTAAGTTCCCCATGCACAGGGTTCCGCCTTGGGAGATAAGGGAGACAGGTATGCTAGTCCTGGGCCTGAGAAGCATCAGTCTGGTGTGTACTGGTTCCCTTTTTGGCAGACTGACCACACCCATCCCTTCCTGTGGCTTCTGGTCTCTGACCTAAGGAATTCCATACTTCTATATAAGCCCCTGACAAAAGGTCAGGATCTTCCTTGATGCCAAATAAACAATCTGTTCTGTTTGGGATATGACTTGACCTGTTTAAGATAATTCAGAAGGTGCTGACCTATGCATGAGTGTGTGTGCGTGTGTGTCCATATAGTAAACTGAAGACCTTGCACATGCTAGGAAACTCTCTACCGCTTAGCTACGTCCTCAGCCCAATACTGGCTTTTTTTTTTTTTTTTTTTTTTTTTTGGTTTTTCGAGACAGGGTTTCTCTGCGTAGCTTTGCGCCTTTCCTGGATCTCGCGCTGGCCTCGAACTCACAGAGATCCGCCTGCCTCTGCCTCCCGAGTGCTGGGATTAAAGGCGTGCGCCACCACCGCCCGGCCTGGCTTTTTGATACACATCTGCAGCATGATTGTGACTGTTACCTGCTTTTGCGTCTGTGTACTCCTGCTTCCAGAGTGGCCAAGACTACAGGTACACACCGCTGTGCTTGGCTTCAGCCTCTTATTCTGGAAGCTTCTGGGAGTTCCTTATTACCTGTAGGGACTTCACTTTACTTCACTAACAGTTGACATTAACAACAGCTCTTAATTTCCCCCTTGTCACATAAATATAGTTACAAAGTGCCTTTTATAGGTATCTAAGATTATCATTAAGACAAATTTTCAAAATCAAGCACCTCTCTGATGACCTGTCTCCTTTTCACAGGGGCACTTCTTTGTCCTCCTCTGGCTTCCACGAAATGATAGGCATCTCCTCTCACCAAGATGGCTCCTTGTCTAACGGATGGAACTGAGGACATTACCTGCTGGCATGCCAGGAGAAAACCTGGACACATTAACTCCTGCTTGCTGCCTCTGGACAGCCAGGTCCATACTCTGCCCTATCCTCTAGACTGCCTTCTGTATTGTGGAGGCAAGCTGCTGAACAAGCAGGCCTGTGGTTGTCCAGTGCTGTTAACACCAGGGCAGTCCACCTGTCCAGGGCTGGGGTCGCCAGCTACGCACCTAAAGCCGCCTTCTTTGGTGCTTTAGTCTGTCAGGTGGCTTTGAACTCAGGTGGGGGGTCAAAGAGGTAGCAATCCCCAGCCCATGTGACCCACACTGGTCTGGGACAAGTTCTGACTGCTCACAGCAAGCCTCCTTACCCAGTGAGATGATGCTCTCATAGTTTTCCAGCATCACTGTCTTGTAGAGTGCCCGCTGCACAGGGACCAGATGCCTCCACTCTTCATCTGTGAAAGTCACGGCCACATCTTCAAATGTCACCGACGTCTGAAAACACAACCACACCCCCTTACGACCCTTTTCTTTCTTGTCAGTTTTGTTTTTCTTGAGACAGGGTCTAACTCTGGGTGCTCTACAGCATGGACCGCAAACTCCAGCCTAACCCAACACTCCTTGGTGTGTGGGGGCTGACTCTCAGTCCATAACTGGTTGCACCAAAGGGACAGTCAGGACGGAACCACTGATTCCAGAGTCCTCCAGGCAGGCCTGCTCTGTCAGCTTTGGGGAAAGCCACAAGCTCACGGTGCTGAAGGTCATCTTACTTTGGAGCCCTTCATTGGCCAAAGGGTGGAGGGTTGTAAAGGAAGACACTCAGGATAAAGAAAGAAAAGTGACTACATTTTGGCATCAAATAATAGTAGTTCAGAAATAAAAATGTCCACCTCACCTGGCATCTGGTAGGTGGAGACACAGTGGCCATTCCCTCCTATGCTGTCCTGGTAGGGAAGAACAGAGGACTAGTGAGGAAAAAGTATGGGGGGAGAGAAGGTATGAGAACGAGCAGTCCTGGGGTCTTCTGGCCCACGTGGCAAGGCCCCCCCATATACCAGTGAGCAATGCAGCCACCTTCATTCCCAGCACCTTACAAAGAGCAAAGAAAGCAAGACCAAGGGCACTCTCTGCTCACTGCAGAGTTAGAACAAAAGCCATGGATATGGGAACCACAGCAGTGTCTGTTGTACCATTCAGGGCAGAGTTCTGTTCCCAAGAGTCAGAACATAGCAAGATTCACACGATATTTATATATTCACATTTAATGTTGCCCTGAATGTTTAATGAGCTAAAACCATAAGCAACTTTACAAATGACTATGTGGATAAGATAAATAAAAACTATGGCCTCTTTAGAGGAGTAGCATTCCATTTACAGCTCTTGCTAATGAAGCATCCATCTTTGATACTATAAGACTCTTCATCTCGTTTCTAGAACCACACTGATCATATCACAACTGGAAAATCAGTGAGTAACCAATTAGTAACTAGCAATTAGTGAGAAATTAACTGACCTACTAGAAACATCCTTGTTTGCTTTCTCTTGCTCTGAGGAGACATTGACCAAAAGCAACTCAGGGAAGAGAGGATTTATATATGGCCCACAGGTTACAGTCCATTCCCAAGGGAAGCCTAGGCAGGAATCTGGAGGCAGACACTGAAGCAGAGACCACGGAGGAACACTGCTTACTGGCTTGCTCAGCTACTTTCTCATACAGCCCAGGCCTACTTTCCCAGGGCTGGCATTATCCACATGGACTGGGCCTGCCTGTATTAATTGGCAATTAAAAAAAATGCCCCATCCTCCTGGTGGTGGCGGCGGCGGCAGCGCACGCTTTTGAACCCAGCACTTGGGAGGCAGAGGCAAGCAGATCTCTCTGAGTTCCCAAAGTTTGAGGCCAGCCTGGTCTACAGAGTGAGTTCCAGGACAGCCAGGGCTACAGAGAGAATCCCTGTCTTGAGAAAAAAGAAAGAAAATACCCCACGCAAACATGCTCACAGGCCCATCTGAGGGAGGCAACCCAATTGAGATTCTCTCTTCCCAAGTATGCCTAAGTTTGTGTCCAGTTAATAAAAACTGTGACAGAAATGATCTGGTATGAAAAGATGACATCCTTCTTAGTGACCATGAATTTTAAAGTGTTGGGACAGCATGCAGGTGATGAGTCAAAAAGACATCAAGAGGTACTGAAGTTGCCTCAGGGACCAGGGGAGCAGTTACCAGGAGACAGAACCAATGGACGTGGCTCTCACATTAGTGGTGAGACACTGGTGCTCACACAGGTTCAAGCTGAAAGGAAGAGAGCTCCAGTTCCCACACACTGCAGCTTTACTTATCCTTGGATTTCCAGAAGATTTATCTTCTTTGATCTCCCTTCTTGTAAGTTAGATGCTAAATGCATCTCACCTTCTCACAATTCAGAGTCTAATTAGAGCCTATTGGGTGTGGTAGTGCAAATACTTGGAATCTCAGCACTCAAGAAGCTGAGGTAAGACTGCTGCATACTGAGTTCAAGGCCAGCCTGAGCTACATAGGAAACACCACATCAACTCTTTCCCCTATAAAAGGAGTTTAATTAAAATAACAGTGAAAGCAAAAATTAGGGGAACTCCTGGTAGGGTGGGGAGATAGCATGCACACTTCTGAGAAGGAAGAGAATATGTGTATCTGTGGCTCATTGACCACTTTATTGCAGCCATAGGAATACATCACCACTCCCTGTGATTCATTCATCTACCTACTTAATCAGCATTTATTTAGTACCAACTACATCAAGCACAAACCCTGCAAGACACTTTCCCTGACCTCCACGAGCAACAGCTTTATACAAAGAACAAAGAAACATTTATTATAGGATGGTATGTAAAGAGATGCAGGGCAAGCTGTCAGGGCTTTGAAGAGGCTCCCCAAGCCCATGGAGGAAGGATTGAGGGAGAAATGCTGCAGCTTTCTTGGCACAAATAGGGATCTACAGTTTTGCTGTGAGGGAGGAACATTATAGACAAGGAAAACCTTGAGTAAAAATAGGAGGCAGATCCTTATCACATAAAGGATTACTACTGAAATTAGATAAGAGGAAGTCAGTCAGGAGCAATATTGGAGAAAAGATGAGCCTGGAGAAACCAGCAGAGGTCAAACTACATCAAAAGGAGCTGGGGGTGGGGGGTGTTGAGCATGGTTGTGTCCTCATTAGATATGTACTTTAGAAAGAGCATTGTGATGAATAGCAAGGGTTTTCAAACACAGACATTCTCAGATTGGCCAATTCTCTTCTAGGAATTTATTCTAGAAATAAAAGAGAATAGTTACAGAGCTTTTAATTAACCATCACCAACACATCTTTATTGAAGGTTCTCTGCCAGCCAGCTTCTTAAGCAATTACATACATCATCCCATTTAGTCTTTAAACAATGCAACTAAAATGTGAACTCTATTAAGCATCTACAACAGGAAACTTGATTAAATAATTTACTGCCTACAGGCTAGACACACAATGGAGCGCTATGAAACATCACCCTAACTAGTATTGCTGAGCACTTGCTCTCCTGAGGCTCTTGCTAAGTGCTTTTAATAAGGATAATTTAATCCCATCCTCATACATCAGGAGAGGGACTATAGGGTATTCAGACTTTGTAAAAGGCTGAGGCAGAATTTGAAAAAGTCTGCCTGGAAGCTTTTACTTCTATGTTATAATTTATTTCATCAAAAGATAGCCACAAAGTTAAGCAGATCTTTAGACTAAAATAGAAAATCCCGAAACGCATCCCAACATTTTGGGAAGCTTTATATGCATGACTGAAGCTTCATGGAAAACAAGTATGATGACATACACCCGTAATGCCTGCACTTGGAAGGCTGAAGCAGGATCTGCTGGCTTATTACCAGGGTAGGCTACAAAATAAGGCCGTATCTCAAATGCAATAAATGTAAAAACAAAAACTAGGGAAAAGATCACCGGTAAATTGCAAACAACTTCAATGGAGTAATAGACAACTGGTCATCACACGGACTTCTAGACATATGATGGTTGTCGGTGTCGGTGGTTGGTCCTAAGTTGGGATGTTCGACTTTATGATGATCAGAATGTTACTTCTAGAACTGTTCCTCAAAACTTCGTTTGTGTTGATCTCATTTAAGACCACACAATACCTTGCTTGGTGGGTCTTACCCTGACACTCTGGGTCTTGTCTGGCCTCAATACAGTTCCTTCACTTTTATTTCCACTACTCCGTGACAGTGCACTCTAGTCAAAATCATCTCAAATCTGCCTGAAGTCATTTGCCATCTCCTTTGGGGTTTTCTTCACCTCAAATCCGGCCTCCTCTACGAACACCCTAAGCTCACGTCAGGACATTCCCGCGCAGGCTGGGGATGAGGAGCAAAAGACACAACGTGAGACGTTTTCTGGGGGGACTGGGTGAGAATAGAGTGGGCACCCCTAGATTTAGGGTCGGTACCACCTACATTCATGAAGCACCCATGAAGGGAGGAAAGAACTAGAGGAAGACGGGGGAAGACTGGGACCTCCAACTTTGAAGTACAGGATTCTGGCACACAGTGGGCGTACCACAAAGACACTGGTAGCCCTGTCTATGCCCTAAGGAACCTACGCACACTGGGAGGGACGACTCTCCCTCCCAGGCTCTCGCGCAAGCTAGCTCCATCAGGTCACGCCCACTAGTCCTCCCAAGTCCCCAGGGTTCCCTTCTCTCCGCCGCTGCGTCCACTCGGCATCTCGAAGACCTAGACCCGCAGCCCTCACCTTCCGCAAGAGTACTGGGTACCTGCGAACGCCGTACCGCCTCGGGTCGGGAAGGCAGTGCGCCTGCGCGATGGTCTTCCGCTTCTGGGCTCCAATCAATGGGCTGCCTTCGCATGGACTCCATTTCCCAGAAGTCTCGACAGCCGGCGCGCCTTAAGATGACGCATATAAAAAAAAACTGCACAAGCTTGCACTCCAGATCCGTGGTGCTGAAGCGGATGGGACCAGGCTGTGTGGGTGCGTGGGCTCCTAAACCCAGAGACCAGCGAGGAGGAGGGTCCTAAGACAGCACAGGTCCTGTCTCTGGTTTGCCAGCGTGCCTATCTTTTCCGAAAGCCAGGGTTCCCAGTTCTTAGTCATCTTTCAGTGGACTGTCCCAGATGCTTGACACACCTGTTGCTGTCGTCCTGCAAGAATTCTTAGGCAGTTTTCACTATTTTGGTCCGCACCTCGGGGAATTTACACTCAACTCTGTAACCACAATCCTGTTTGAGGATGACCTCCTTTCTACTGCTTCAGACGATACCAGCTGTACAGACTTTAAACTTTGTAGCACAAAAAGGATGCAGAGTTTCCAGGGAAAGACTCAACTTGTGAGACAAAAAAGTCAGTTACTGAATCTTCATTTAGCCCCAGGATATCTGAAATAAGAGACATGTTAGGGCTTTTCTGGAACTAACAGGGTACTGCAGAATATGGATTGCAGCACTTAAAAAAATAGCCAGGCCAGTCTCTGAGAAACTAAATGAGAGCCCCAAATCCATACCAAGGAACAATCCCTAAGAAAGTCCTGGCACCGGGCTTCCCAAGAGGGATAGGCTCTTCAACAGCACATTACAAACAAACAAACAAACAAACAAAACAAAACAACCCCCCCCCCAAAACTAGGGTCAATAACTGTCCTCAATTGGCCATTGGATCACTATCTGTACTCTCCTAAGAACTTGATTTCTTCGGCTATTACTTAGACACCTCCAATATCAATCTTTCTTAAGGATGCACATAGAATTAGCAAAGAAGGAAATTCTTCTACTAAGTAACCACATACCTCCCTGGTGTTACATGTCCATGCTGCTATCCTGAAGGAAAGAGCTTTACCGAACTCCAAGAGAGCTTCCATCAAATACTGACCACAGGTTTTGTCTCTCATGTATGCCATTCAGAAACTCCCCAGTGTTGCCATGTCTGCTACAGGGCACACCAAAGGGACGACTCACTTGTCAATGGAGGGAATGGATTAGATCACTAGACTGCCAAGGTCGAAGCCCTGGTGCCTAGCTTTTGTTGGCCCCTTTCCCCTATATCAAGGATACCTTGTAAGCCTCAGTCTGCCCCTAAGGCAGTGGGGAGGGCAGCTGTGACAGGGTTCCTCTGTAACCCTGAAGGATGGCTACATACGGAAATCCTCAACTATGTTCTCCAAGTCTTCAGTGGAAGCTTGTAAAGTAGCTCCATGAGTCTTTGGTCAGGCAAGCTTGTAAAGTAGCTCCATGATTCTTTGGTTGGGCAAGGTCAGGAGAAACACACAATCTCCTATTCTTAGGAAAGGGACTCTTTTATTCCATTCCCGAGTTACCAGGGGCTGCATGTGCTTCAGAAAAATCTCTTTTTGTGACCATGCACAGACATGGTCACTACCCCACGACAGATTTAGAGATGTCGTTCACTGAGCTCCCCACCTGCCAAGTCTTCATTTGCCTACTGGACTTCACGGATACCCTCGCTGAGTGAATTGAAGCCTTTCCGGTCCATGCTGGAAAGGCTTGAGAAGTAGCCAAGGCACTCTCACAAGCAATTCTCCCCCATTTTTGGACTCGCCCAGAATCTCCAGATGTTTTCAAATCATGACCAAAATATTAGGTAGCAAATACTTACACCTTGCCTGACAACCATCGCCCTCAGGAAAGGCAGAAAGCCTTCGAAGATATGCTGAAGAAGCTAATGAAGAAAACCACAGTGTTAGTTTCTATTGCCGTGACAAAACACTGTGACCAGGGCACCTTAAAAATAGTTTATTGGAGGCTTACCTTTTCAGAGGAGGAGTCCAGGACCATCATATGTGACTCGTTTGGGTAAGCAGGGATAGTGTAAAGCCATGACCAGGTGAGGTAAAAAACATGGCCTAGGGCTGGACATGCGTGTGGGAACAACCTCTACCAAGAGTACACCAATGAGTCTGAAATCACGGGCAACGTAATGTTTAATAAGCTTTAGGTCTTCTCTGGAGTCAGGTACGAACTTCCTAAACTTGGTCTCATTCACTCTCTGCATCCTTCCTGCTGTTCCCAGACTGTCTCCTGGCTGGGACGAATGGACTTTCTCAGGACACGCCAACCATTGGTTGGATCTGACGGATTTGGCCATTACCGGAGATGAGAACCAGAGCCAGCCCCGCCCTCTCCCCGCCCCTGCCTGGGGTCCTAGCGCGAGGACCCCCGCGAAGCTGTCCGTGGCTGAGCCTGACTCGGTTTGCTTTGTGGTCCATGTGGACACTTTCTCGACCCCCCCCCCCCCGCCCCCCCGTGTGCGCTGAACGCTGGCCCTCGAGTCTCAGCACATCGCCTTGCGCTGATGACGGACGTCTGACGAGGCGCGGTCGCAGCCGGTCGCGGCAGGCGGTGGGGAAGGCTGTCCCGGAGACAGGCAGCGTCGCTGCTCCGGCTCCAGCATGGCGGCGGCCGTACGCGCTGCGGGCTGTCTCCCTGCACTGTGTAGCGTGCCGGCAGGTGAGCGCTGGGACCCGGACTGTATGCGCGCGCCAGCAGGGTGCTTTCCCTCGGGTCTGCGAAGTTCCGGGTCGAGGGACGCAAGAAGTCGCTGGGCCCCTGATCCTGGTCTCCCATTCGGGTCGGGCAGGCTGTGTGACCTTGCGCGCCTTCTCCCCTTCTCTGGGTCTTGAGATTGTGGTTTGAGATTATAGAAAGCGACTGGACTCTGCTCTCAGCCAGGAAAACCTCTCGAGCCCACCCGGTGAGGAGGAGCAGGAGTAGCAAGCATCATCTGTGGCTCATGGGGTGATGTCAATCCCGGCTTCGAGGCCGAGGGCCGCCAGCGAAGCTCAAAACTAAAGGATCGTCCTCTTGCCGAGTCCGTTAGATTAACTAGCTGTCATTTTAGCGCCTGGGACGATCCGTTTGTCGGAATGTCACCGTTTTCCTCCCGCCCTTCTCAGTTGTGTGCAGTTCTCTAGCATAGCGTTGGCCTGTGGGAATGGCTTCGCGATCGATCGACAGCATCCTGTTTTATCAAGCCCCCCGTCCAGGCCCTGCAAGTTAATTTGGTTGCAGTATGTGGCCCGAAATCACCTGGTGGGGTATGTGACGTGAGCCTGCATTTGTCTTGCCGGCGTTGGAACAATCTCCTTAATGCCTCTGTCGAATAGTGGGTTGTAGCCTTCGGTCACAGAGGCTTACCCGTGTGCCAGAAACGATCTTGCTGTTCGTGATTTTATACCTCCATTTCCTCCTCAGAGTGCCTTTATGATTCCGTTGTATTCTCAAACCACCCCTACCCCACCCCCGCCCACCTTTTTTGTTTTTGAGACAAAGTCTCCCAATTTATAAGCCTCCCGCCTCAGCTCCTAAACGCTAGAGTTACAGTTGTTTTTACTATCAGACTCTGCCTCATTATTCTTGTTTTATAGATGAGGGAATTACAGAGATGGGAAACTTGCTCACAGATTAAGACTTAAAACTTTGCACCCATGATGCCTTGCTCCAAGCCCCTCCCCTCTTTGTGTAACTCCCCTCTTTTTTGGGGTACCAGCTTTATTATTGACATAAATTAGCATAAAACACCCATCTGAAGTGTACACTTCAGTGTTTTGGTTTTTTTTTTTTTTAACTTTTTTTGTTTTTGTTTTTTTTTGACACAGGGTTTCTCTGTGTAGCTTTGGACCCTGTCCTGGACCTCACTTTGTAGACCAGGCTGCTCTCGAACTCACAAAGATTCGCCTGACTCTGCCTCCCTCCTGAGTGCTGGGATTAAAGGCTTGCGCCACCACCGCCCAGCCTGAAAAACTACTTTTTAACTATTGTGTTCATCCCCTCCAATCTCTCAATAATCCTCAACACTAGGTAACTACTGATCTATTTCCCATCTGTCTATAGCTTGCCTGTTCTGGACATTTTTTATAAACAGAATCAAACGATATCTGCAGTGTTGTCGGACTTATCCAGGCTGTGACATACCAGTCCCATGTTGCTTGTGACCCAATAAAATATGCTTGTGTGGATATACCACATTTTGTTTATCCATTGGTTGATGAACATTTGAGCCGTTTCCATCTTTGGCTATCAGGACTGAAGTTAAAGTATTTGAGAGCTGTGTTTTTGTCTATGCCTGTATCCATCCTCTCTTGTGTACATTTCCTGGAAGTGGAATTGCTGGTTGCAGCGATGACTCCATGTTTACGGAACTGCCAAGTAGCTATACCATATTACAGCTCCAGCACAATGTAGGGGTTCCGGTTTCTCTTTGCCAAAACTTGTTATTGTCTGTTCTGTGCAGATAGCCAAGCCAATGGTGTGACAATGTACTAATTTTGTGACTTTGATTTCTAGTGAGCTTGTTTTCATGTGCTTCTTAACTATTTGCATATGTTCTTGAAGAAATGTTTGTTCAAATCTTTTGTCTGTGTGTGTACACTGAAGATTGAACCCTAGGTACAGGCATGTCCAGACTGTGGCCTGAGGGCGGCTGTGTGGTCCCGTTCAAAACTGTAAACATCTTTAAAACATAAGATTGTGTGTGTGTAACTTGATTGTGTGGTTCTTGACCACAAACTTTGTAGATTTGAGGTCTGTGCCATGTTAAGAGTCAAAGGTTGGGCACACCTGCTAGGAAGGACCTTGTGCATGCTAGGCAAGTGCTCTACCACCAAGCTTTCAGCCCGGGTGTTTGAACTGATGGATCTCATCTGGTGAAGCTGTCTGGGAAGGTTATATGTGTTTAGGAAGTGGAGCCTTGCTGGAGGAAGTGGGTCAATGGAGTTGGGTCTCAAAGCGTTATAGCCTGCCTCCACTTCCTGAACCCCGCTTCTGGGCTGTGGATGTGGGGATCTGCCATCATGTCATCCTTGCTTGCTACCATGTCTTCTCCTCCGTGGTGGACTGCATCTCTCCAGAATTGTGTGCCCAACAACTTGCCCAGGCTATTGTTGAACTCACTCTCTAGCTGGGCTTGAACTGTCTATCCTCCCATCTCAGCCTCAAATAGCTAGGTATATATGAACATCCACCAACAGACCTGGCTTCTTGTCCATTTTTCAATTTGGTTGACTTTATTATGGAATTGGAAGACTTATTTTTCTAGATACAAGTCTCTTGTCAGATATGCCAAAAAAAAAACCAAACAAGTATTTTTTGAGATAGGCTCTTATTGTGTATCCCTGGCTAGCCTGGAACTCATTATGTAGACGAGGTTGGCCTTGAAGTCACAGAGATCGGCCTGTCTGCCTCCAGACTAGGATATGAGACCTGGCCCATGAAGAAACATCACCCCCCACCCCACCCCCCAGACAGGGTTTCTCTGTGTAGCTCTGGCTGTTCTGGAACTCACTCTGTAGACCAGGCTGGCCTCAAACTCACAGAGATCCGCCTGCCTAGATCTGAAATGCTGGGAAGGGAATTAGGGAAACCTGTTAGGGGATGGGTTATCCTGTGGCTCAGTGACGAAGAGGCCTTAGCAAAGAAGGACCAGCAAGGACAGCCCAGGGCAGGTGACAGACGGCTTCATACCCAAGGGGATTTCGAAAGGCTTGGAAACTGGGTGGGTTTGAGGGTGAAGGGTGCAGATATCATGTCAACTACTTGGCAAATGGTGATGGACCCAGAGATGGCTTACACTTTGTCTCAATCCTTTTATTCTGTAGGTGTTAATATTTTGTAGACATTACTGTTTAAAGTGTTCCTTTTTGTGTAGAAAGTATATTTAAACAAGTGTACCCCCTCCCCCCATTTACAGGTAATTTCCTGTCTAGGCAGCTCTCTTTAAACGCCTTTCCAGCAGCAGCTTCCTTTTTGGCAGTGAAAACCACTCTCAGCCACGGTAAGATTCTACCACATCTCTGTTCTTGTAAGGTTTGCTTACGATGGAGTAGTTTTGTGACGGGGGTTTGGGATGAGCGTGGCCGTCTAGGGGTACTGCCGAAGCATTCCCATCTAGTTATACATGCTTCAGCTTTCTTCCCCAGAGACGACTGTAGTTACCGTTTCTTGTCTGTCCTTCTGGAGTGTGGAAGGTGCAGTCACAGACATACCTGTGTTGTTTTTGAACATGAAACAGGGTATTCTGCATACTCTGGCATTTTGCTCTGTGGGACATTTGCAGGTCATTGCATGTTCCCTGGCTGCACACAGCAGAGGTCACTGTTTTCCCACAGTAGGCTCTGCACTCTTGGATACTGCAGAGAAATGCCACATCCATTGTGTGGAGGAGCTGCAGCTTCTCTAACTATCATGGGCATTTAGGTTATTTTGTTTTGAAGGTGTCTCAACATTGATTTTTTAAAAAATACATTTCTTTTAGTTATGTCTTTGTGTCTTGGCGCAGGGTATGTATACATGTGTGTAAATGCCTAAGGAGCCAGAAGCATAGGTTCCCTGGAGGAAGAGTCGTAGGTGGTTGTGAGACATGTAAAATGGGTGCTAGGAGCCAAACCTGGCTTCTTTTTGAGAGCAGCATATGCTCTTAACTGCTAAGCCGTCTCTCCAACCCCAAAACATGATTCTCCAAATTTTAGTGACTTGAACAGTTTTTAGAAATTGTGTGTGTATATGTGTGTTTGTGTGTGTGTACATTCATTCTACTGTGCGTGTGTAAGTCATGGGGACTATTTGTAGGAGCTGACTCTCTCCTACCACTTGTGTGGGGTCAAAGGTTGTCAGGTTTGGCAACAAGTACCTTTGCCTGCCCAACCATCCCGACAACCTTAGTGACTTATTTTTACTAGTGGGATTGTTTGGTGCAGGCAGTGTTTCTCTTACAGCCGTGGGGTCTGACACCAAGTTTTGTTCTATCTGCCTGTAGGCTCTTGGTCACCAAGGGGAACAAAAACCAACCACTGTCTGATCAGCTTGAGCCATGCGCTGCAGACACAGTGCTGCGTTTCCTCTCCTGTCAGCTGGATGGGCCAGCAGAGTAGACCCTACAGCTTCTTCACCAAACGTATGTAGAATGATAAACTTCTCCTTTCATGGAACCAGAAAAGAGAAGGTGTTTGTGCCTTCATTATCCTTCTTTCTTAAACAAATAAACATTTTAGTGACTACCTTATAATGTCCTGTTAAAAATAAAAGCATCCCTTGAGGGGTTGGGGACTTAGGTCAGTGGTAGAGCGCTTGCAAGCGCAAGGCCCTGGGTTTGGTCCTCAGCTCTGGAAAAACAAAAAACAAAAAAACCCAAAAAACATTCCTTGATATACCCATTAGAATTAGCTACATGTCATCATTTGTACGATTGTTAACAGATTTACTTTGAATGCTGGGGATGTAGCTAGCAAGATGTAAGGTCCTTCATTTGGGGCACCTGAGGTCTTAAAGGTGTTGGATCATGGCCTAATACCCTGCTGATTTAGAGCCAGGCCAAGGGAAAAAATACATTGGTGCTCTTTTTGGTGGCACCTCCTAGGTGGTCGACTGCGTCGAGATGAGGCTGTCTCCTCTCCAGCCATCAGCTGTCAGAGGCTCACTGAAGCGGGTGATGAACACCAAGCTTTCTGCTTTCTCCGAGAAGCTCGTGGCCGCAGAAGTGGCTGCTGGTGCTCTGGATGAGGAGTGGAAGGGCTGTGTGGTCCGAATCAGTGGTGGGAATGACAAGCAAGGTTTTCCCATGAAGTGGGGTGTCTTGACCCACTGCACAGTTGCCTGCTGTTGAGTAAGGGGCATTCTTGTTACAGACCAAGGAGAACAGGAGAGAGGAAGCGCAAGTCTGTTCCGGGATGCACTGTAGGTGCCAGTCTGAGTGCTCTCAACCTGGCTATTTTAAAAAAGGAGAGAAGGATATTTCTGGACTGACAGAGACTCCTGTCCCTTGGCAGTTGGGACTCAAAAGAGCTCACAGGAAATGAAAGTTTTCAGTCTCTCTAAAGAAGTCCCCATATGTTGTCAGAAAATCTTAAACAAAGAAGGTAAGAAGCCCAGGACCAAAGCACCAAAGATTGAGTGTCTTGTTACTCCACGTGCCCTGCAACACAAAAGCCCACATGTTGCTCTGAAGAAACAACATACTAAGAAAAATGAGGAGGACGCTGCAGAACATGCTGAACTTTTGACCAAGAGAATGAAGGGAGTCAAAAATGCCCCAGAGTATCAAGAGATGTAGGCTGTCTTCACTGAGAGCTTCTACTTCTGAGTCCAGTTAAAAAAAAGTCCTTAAGAGTAACAAGTAAATGATCAAACTTTTAGTCTCAAAACAAAAAAACCAAACCAACCCATTGGCTCCTTTTAGTTGTGCCTTTAGCTGAGGAGATAGATCAATCTGGGGAAGGTAATTTTTAGTAACATTATTTTATGGATACTGCTCCTATTTGCGATAATGTCACTGGAGCTCACCTAAGAGGCTGGCCAGCAGGCTCCAGGAATCCACCTTATCTGTTCTCCAGTGCTGGGATTCCAAGCATGTGCCATTGTGCCTGGCTGTTTGGACGTGGCTTCTGAGGGTCAGATCCATGCCCTCAGGCTTGCAAGGCAAGCACTACCTACTAGGCCATCTTCCTAGCCTGGCTTCAATTTTTATTATATAAGTTCGTAATAGAATAAAATCTAGTTACGAAATAGTTGGTGAACTTGGAAAGGTGAAATTTAAATACCAATAAAATGCAGTAAGGATCAACCTAAAGAATTTAGGCATTTACCAGTACAAAGTATTGATTGGGATACAGGGTAGAAACAGATGTTGGGACCATAGAAATTGACAAATAGAAATGAATTAGCAGTGTTAGAGTGTGCATGTGTTAAAGGACTCAATGTGACTTAAAATAGTCAAGTACAAATACACACACGGGGATTAGCTATGAAACACTGGAATATCTGTTTTATGTGTAGTTTGAAAGAAAGGGATGTTGGGTATTGACGGAAGAATAGAGCGAACTCTCTAAATGGGGTGTAGGTTCTCATGTGTAAGGAAGTGTCCTAGTTAGCTTTACTTGTCAATTTGACACAGCCTAGAGTCACCTGGGCAGAAAGCCTCAAAGTCAGATTGGCCTGTGGACATGTCGTGGGGACTGTCTTGATTGATAATTGATGTAGGAGGGACCAGCCCTCTGGGAGGCACCAGCCCTAGGTAGGTGGTCCTGGACTGTGCCAGAAAGCAAACGAGCACAAACCTGCCATTGAGCCAGCCAGCAGTGTTCCTCGACGGTTTCTGCTTCAAGGTCTTGCTTCGATCCCTGCCTGACTTCCCTCAGTGGACTGAACTGGACTGGGAGCCACCCCCCGGTGCCCCTCTCCTGAGCTGCTTTGGTCAGAGTGGTTTATCGCCGCCATAATGGAGATGAGATAGGACAGAAGGGTACTGCTTACTCCAGTGACTATTGTGGAGGCAAGAGGACAGGGAAGCAACCCAAGTCATAGCTGATCGAGTGTCAGGCAGACAAGCCTGCCAGCGAGGGGCTCAGGTGGCAGCCGTCTTTTGTGAGGAGTAGTAGCATAGACTCCTCTTGGGTTTTCCAAATGTGACTGTGGTACTCAGAGAGTGACTTTGTTCTGCTTCTAATGCCACTGCAAGGGTGTACGTGAAGTGGCTTCTCCTGGCCTTTTTTGTTCAAGGAGCCATAGGTGATCGCTTGAACAATGCAGGATTTAAAGCAGCCGACCCTGTGTCTTTGCAGTGACAGCAGAAGAACTCTGGAAAGGTGCTTTAGCGGAGACTGGCGCCGGGGCGAGGAAAGGCAGGGGCAAAAGGACCAAGAGGAAGAAGAAGAAGGATTTGAACAGGGGCCAGATCATCGGAGAAGGTAAGCTTACGTTAAAGCTTCTGATTTCCTGTCTTGTGTATCCCAGGCTGGCCTTGAACTCGTGATCCTCTTACCTTAGCCTCCCTGAAACTATGATTACAGGCATGTGCTGGAACTCCCAGCTAATGTGCTGATCTTTGTTTTTTTGTATTACAAAATCACATGTATATCTTGTCAGTTAGAAAAGAAACAAAACCAAGTATGTAGAGAACATGGAGCGCCCCCTTTCAGTGCCTGTAGTCTGGTTGCCTCCCCATCTCATTCTGTTGTTTCCTTTAATATTTCCATGTTTTTATATAAATGCCTTTCTGAAGATAATTTAATCATGCTACATGTTGTGTGCTGTGCGATGGTGAGTTAATTGTCACCTTGACGTACTCTGGAGTCACTCAGGAAGAGTCTCAGTGAAGGGTTGTCTAGGTCAAGTTGACCTGTGGGCATGTTTGTGGGGCTCTGTCTTGATTATGTGGATTAGTGTGGGAAAACCCAGTCTAAAGGCAGGAGTTCTGGGTCCTGGACTTATCAAAAAGGAGAAAGTGAGCCGAGTGCTAGCAAGTGTATGTGCATTCCTTCTCACTCTGCTCTTGCCTGTGGGTGTGACTGACTAGCTGCCTCCTTGACTTGAGTGATGGATGGAAACCTGGAACTGTGAGTTAGAACAAACCCTCTTCCAAGTTGCTTTTGTCTGAGTCTTTTATCAGAAAAAAGAAAACCAGGTTATGCTGTCTTAAAATTTGCTAGTTTTGGTCACTAGTTGGTCTTGGAAGAGTCCACATCAGACCTTCGAAAGTGACTTTGTTCTTTGGATTTCATGAAGAATGTCCCACACACCAGCTGTGCCGTTTGCCGAACACTTTGATTGTGAAGATTTTGCTTTTCCAATAACATCTGAGTGGATGTGCTCGTCCAGGCCCACGTGTGCTTGTCCCCTATGAGAGTCTTTAGGTAGTGTGCATCACAGTGATTTAGCGTCCTACATTTACAGTGTCCATAGCACAAAGTGACATGCTGAGCAGTCATGGTGCTCAGGCTCTCCAGCTCTGGGCTCTCTGTTCAGACCTGCCTGGCATTTTGATCCTGGAAAAATGATTCTTCAAATTCTTATTTATGAATATTTTTAAATCTTCAGGGCGTTCTGGTTTCCTGTGGCCCGGTCTGAATGTCCCTGTTATGAAAAGTGGAGTAGTCCAGACCATTGGCCAAAGAAGCAGAGAAGAGCAGCAGAAGGTGGAGGCCCACATGACGCAGCAGAGAGAAGAGTGGGAACGGAGGAGGAAGATAAAAGTCAAACGGGCGCGCGGGTGGAGCGGAAGCTCATGGGGAGGTGTCAGTATCGGCCCCCCAGACCCAGGACCCAACGGAGGTAGCCAAGTTCCCATCTTACTCGCCTTGTCACAGGTGACAGTGCTAGGGTGGTTTTGAAACGACTTATTATTATTATTATTATTATTATTATTATTAACCTTGCCTGTTTAGGTTTTACTTTTTCCTGAAAAGGATTTCAGCATCCTCGAGTAATTTACCACGTTGTTATCCACACTGTGTCATAGGGAACACAGCCGAGAAGCGTGGCTAGAAATTTTCATACTAAGTTAGGCTCATGCAGTAACCATAACTAAACTCAGTGGTTTGTTGTTGTTGTTGTTGTTTTAAAGGAAAATAAAAGACATGAAAATGGGAGAGAGATGTGTAGGTAGAAGGGTTTCAAGGCAAGGAGGCAGGGAGAAGAGAGGAGAATGGGTGATTCTGATCAGAGTACATTACACACATGTAAAACTGTAGGTGAATAAAAGATCATCTTCAAAAGATAAGACAGACTATGGCGAATGAGGTGACCGAGCACCTCATGGCCAGGAGGCTTTGGTGGGACTAGAGGTCATGAGTGTTGAGTGGTGAGGTGCTGTGCCTTGACTTCAGTCCAGCCATGTCCAGTAGTCAGGTGTGGCTGCACTGATTCAGGGGAGGGAGTGTGGGGAAAAGGTTGGGGGTTAGAAAGAGATGCCTTTGGTGTCTTAAGGCAAACAGTGATCAACAGTCTGGAGCTGATGAGGGCCCTTCGAGCTGGTAAGGCAGAGCCCTGCGGAGTTGGCAGAGGGTGATCCAAGTTCATGAATCAGAGGCGGAGCAGTCTATTGAGTATGGGGCCAGGATGTGGCCTTGAGAGAGGTACCTGAGGACCTGAGACTTTAACATTAGAGTCTGTGGTGGGGCCAGGGTGTAGCTCTGTGGTAGGATGCTTACCTAACAGTCAGGAGGCCCTGGGTTCGGTCCTCATTAATACCTCACCAAAGAAAAATGTCTGTAATGGTGCCAGAACACTGCCTACAGTAGTACCACAGTCATTAATCTACAGGCTTTTTCTTTCTTCTTGTAGAAACGTATGAAGACTTTGATACCAGGATTCTTGAGGTAGGCACACGGAATTAAGTACCCTACCACGCCTCTGGAGAGTTGAGATGAGAGGAATGGGCTAGGGCAAAAGGGGCTGGGGGAAAGCTTTGGGGGGGGGGGAGTGTCTCAGACGCACGCACGGCTGATCTGGCCGAGGCAGCCTCGTGACAGGTGACTTCAGTGGTTGTTGAATAGCAGACTTGGAGCTTCTGTGTGCTTCCCTCCACCCTCAAGCTCAAGAAGGGTTAGCAGTTTACCTCTGAGTTAAAAACAGCTGTGTCAGTGCTCAGCTGAGGGGACACAGATGAGGGGGGCAGTCACTGGTAGAAGCTGGGCAGTGACTCCCTGATCAGTGAACTTGAGCCACTTTTCCAGAGCATTCTCTAGGGCGGTCCCTGTCGTTGGTCTGGCACTGCCCCTTACTGCTGAGTCGCTGGGGAGCAGTCACCTGCCCTGGAGCTGCCCTGAGTATGCACATAACGTCTTCTGTTAGTCAGAGCTCAGCTCGAAGGATGTCCGGCAGGATTTCTGTTGTTAGCCGAGATTAGAGATGTTGAGAGCTAGCCTCTGCTGTGTTTTGGTTTTCTGTATGATTGTCCACAGAGCAGATGCAAACCCCTTTTCCTTTATTCTGTTTTACAGTGAAGGAGCACATGTGCCACGGGTGTGGCTCCCTGTAAGTGAGGAAGTTAACAGTTAATAGTTCCTGTCCTTTAGAATGGGCCAGAGTAAACCAGACAGACCACCTGAGAGTGTTTTTGTAGTTCACTATAGGCAGGCATTTCCAATTTTTCTGTTTCCCATTAAAGCCTAACCCTTATCCAGCTGTCCAGTACTATGCTTCTATATGCTGTGTTTCACCGTATGTAGATAAGTGAGCAGTTCTGTTCTGGCTATCTCTTATTACTCACTGATGAGCCATTCCATTTTAATTCAGAGTGTTTTTCTTTCCTGTGGCACATTGATTAAGGTAGGCCATTTTGAGTTGTGTAAGTTTCAGATTTCTTAGTTGAATCTTCCAGTTAGCCTGTGAAACAAGAAGAGAAATTCTTCCTTCCATTCTCTTCCTGAGGAGATGGTCGGGGGGCAGTTTTGTGAGCCTGTGTTCGGACAAAGTCCGTTGTTGTTTGTCTTAAGCACAAGCTAAGAAGGTGCAGTGCCCACACACCATGAGTGAGTGTAGCGGGGCCAGCCAAGCAGCACTGCTGGCCTCCTTCAGAACTGTCCCAAGGGAATACTGATGAGACAGTTTGTCTTCTAGGTAAGAAATGTTTTCAATATGACCGCAAAAGAGGGAAGAAAGAAGTCGGTCCGTGTCCTGGTTGCTGTGGGGAATGGAAATGGTGCTGCAGGTGAATGGGGTGGTATTACACCTGGTGGTGGTGGTGGTGGAAGTTGGGCTAGGCCTGGCCTTGCTGAGAACCTGAGTCCATGTTGCTGGTCTGATCTCCCTACTGGTTAAACCTTTTAGTGGTTTGGGTTCACAGACACAAATTTTCACTATGTAACCAAAGCCCAGTGAGTGTACTTTGTTATACCTTTGCTGCTATAGGCATGGGGGACTTCTTGCAGTGAGGTTGCTACCCTTTTATGTGGTGAAAAGAACCACCAGATTGCCTCCCATCATACCCGTGCCCCGATACTGTCAAGCTTCCGTGACTGACAGCATGATGTGTGCGTCATACCTCTTAGTTTTTATTTGTGTATCTTTGGTTAGGAAGTGTGGGCATGGTTTTACACGTTTATCCACCATGCCATTTTCTTCCTGAGCTTTGTCAGTTCATGGGTTTGGCCTGAGTTTTATTGGGTGGTGGTGGTTCTCCTAATTGAGTAGTGTAAGCTTTTTATAAGTTGCAGACATATCAGCCCATTGCCTTTCCAATGTTTTGACTTAGTTTTAATTTTTTTCTGACAGTGTTAAATCCAGAGACTTTGTAAGCTTTTGTATAGCAAATCTGTTGCTCTTAGATCACTTCCAATTTTATGTTTTGCTTAAAGAATCTCTATTTGAAGATTATAAATAAGTCCACTCATATTTTCCTCTGGTATAGCCATGTTTTCATGGTTTTGTTTGTTTCATTTATCTGAAATTAGAATTCACATTTCTTTGTCCCAGGTCTTCGGTGTCTTGCGTGTCTCTTGTCTTATAGATGATGCTTCCCTTTGTATAACTTACAAAGTAAATCTTCAAATTCAATAATTGGCAGTGACAGCAGATGCCAGTTGCTTTCCCAGAACCTGTGAAAAACCTTATTTGAAATAATCACAGGTTGAAGGACCACTGATCTTATCTTTTAAAACCTAGGTTCTGCTTGACAGTCCCAGTGAAAGCATTTGTCTCCCTGGAGCAATGTGTTTTCCACCTGCTGCTTACTTTAATCTGTTTCAAAAGGTGTTCAAAATCATTTGCCTATTAACTTAGAACATGTTTAATTTTAAAACCTGAGTGCAGAGGCTGGAGAGATAGCTCAGGGTTAAGAGCACTTGTTGCTCTTTCAGAAGACTAGGGTTCAGTTTCCAGTGCCCACATGGCAGCTCCCAACCATTTGTAGCTCCAGTTCCAGGGCATCTGACACCTCTTCTCACCTCCTTGGACTCCTGCGTGCATGTAGTACACAGACATACACTCACACACATACACATACACACACATACACTCATACACATAAAAATAAATAAATAACCCAGAGCCAGCCCAGCACTTGAGAGGCAGTGGCAGGTGGATCTCCAAGTTCAAGGCCATCCTGGTCTATAGAGTTTGTTCTGGGATAGCCAGGGCTACACAGAGAAACCTTGTCTCAAAAAAAAAAAAAAAAAAAAAAAAAAACCCAAAATAAGTAAATAAATGAGTAATCAAGTTCACTTCACTTCAGTAAAGGTTTATTAAAGGCAATGCAGTGCGTCTGATGTTGAGTTTCATGAATACATTCAAAACTAAAATGTCCAAAGCAGACAGGCAAAGCCCTGTGGCTGTGCTTATTGGTTATAGGAGTAGCTTTTCTGTGGGTGGTGGGAAGACGAAGGGCTTGGAAACACTGTCGGAGCCAAAATTGGGGATGTGGTGGAAGGCAAGTTGTAGGCAAAGCTGTTTTGGGGATGTGGTGGAAGGCAAGTTGTAGGCAAGGCTGTTTTCGTTTCCCATCTTTGCTTTTTCTTTGAAAGGTTTTGCTGTTGGGAAAGCTGCTGACCGGGCAGATGCTTTCAGAAAGGTATGTGCTTTATCTCTCTGTTTGAGACAGGGTTCCTCTATGGCTGGAGCTCTGGGTCCTCCTGCCTCTGCCTCCCGAGTGTCAGGAGTGCATATGCGTGCTACCACATCCAGCGCTTTTCTTTTTTCCTATTTAGTAAAAAAGATAATGAGCTGTGTGTTAGACAGCCTGGGAACCATAAGAAAATAATAATTTGTTCTAGAACTTTCTCACTGTCAAAGGTTGCTTATCTTGTAAGAAGCCGTCTCTCACGTACCTGTTACGGACCTGTGGTTGCTGTCTGTGATGAGCCTGCTATGGGGGCTTGCATACAGCTTGCAACAGGCTGTTCAGAATCACTCAGGAAGGTTCATAAGTGGAACAGTGAAATTGTGCTTAATTTTTTTTACACTTGATCTTAGCCAAAAGGCCGAGAAGTGATGTGCTTATTTTTTTTAATACTAAAGTTTTTGTATAGGTGAAATTACTTGTAATAAAATACTTTATAAAAGATGTTTTTGAACTCCAATAAGAAGCCAGACGTGGTGGTATACCTCTGTAATTCCAGCACATGGGAGGCTAAGGCAGGTGGATTTTGAATTTGAGGTCAGCCTGGGGTACATAGCAAAACCATGACTCAAAGATTGAGCCAACACCAACAAAAACAGGGTCTCTCTAAATAGTCCTGGCAGTTCTGGAACTCACTATGTAGAGGAGGCTGGCCTTGAACTTGCAGAGGTCTGTCTGGTTCTGCCTCCTGAGTGCTGGAATTAAAGACGTGTGCCACCACACTCATCTAGACAATAAAATATTTAAGAAATATTTTCATTCTTTTTTTTTTAGGCAAAGAACAGAGCAATTCATTATTTGCATTATATAGAACTATACGAAGGCCATACAAGTGAGTATGAGTCATTTCTCCTGAAATCTGCAGGAGTGTATCTGTTACAGAATGTGTGGCAAGATATTGTTGTATTTCTCTGTATTCTGTTCTTACAAATGCATGAAATGTGGAAACAGATCTACCCCAGGGACCAGTATGTGTCCATCCTTGGCCTCTGTGTGCTGCTGTTCAGGGCAGGATGTGTGGCTCTGTGCTGTTGTGGAGCTGTTGAAGCCTCTCACCCGACCCTTCTTGTCTTTGTGTTTTTGCCTCCAGTATTCCATGATATTTCACTAAGATTTAAAAGGACGCAGATCAGGATGAAGAGACAACCCAGAGGTAACTAGCTCTCACCATTTGTAGAAGATAAGGCAGAGAAACTGCAGCAGCCCAGTCCTTTGCTCTTTTTTTGTCCACCTTTCTTGATCTTATGGAGGCATTTTTCAACTCAGGTTCCCTTCTTTCTGATGACTGTAGCGTGTGTCAAGTTGTCACAGAACTAGCCAGTACAACCACTAAGCTATGTCTCCAGCCCCACCCCACACTGAGTGCCCAGCACCTGTGAGGTCTCCCTGTTGAAGCATGGGGCATGCAGAAAGGGCTCTTCCTGCCTCTCAGAGAAGCAGGCAGAGTTTGCCTTGGGGCTGTGATAGTCACTCCCCATGGTCTGTGGATGTAGACTCTGACACAGTCTCATTTACATCTCGCCTGCAATTCTACAGTGAAAAATGGTCTCGTAATACCCTAGTTACATAAATCTCTGAAAGTTTGGTGCTGAGAAGTTAAAACATTTACAATTTTATATCAGAGCTTCTACAATTCTGCTAAAGCTGTGGGGTGAAACAACATCACCCCCCACAAACAAAACAAAACGCTCACACCAATGTGTTAATGCATCAGAACTTGTCTTCTGCTCCTCAGCTTAATAAATCACTCAGATGCCTGCTTATTAGACCTGCGACAAGGGTCAGACCCACTTCGTTCCACAGAATGGCTGCCAGCCTGTAGGTGATTGTGTGGTTATCTGTGGCTGTTGAGATCGCTCAAATCAAATACACACCACATTTGCTATGAAAAAAGAATGTAAAGTCTTTCACTTCATATTGTAGGAAGTACATTTTGAAATGGTAATATATGGACCTGTTGGCTTAATAAAATATATTGCTAAAAATGCATTGTGCATTAAATGCATTAAAAAACTTTAATTCATCTATGAGAAAAATTTAAATCAATCACATGACTTCTGTTTGTGGCTTACACTGCCTTTTCTTTTTTGGTGTGTGTGTGTGTGTTGGTTTAGACACATTTATTCCCTAAATGCAGAGGCCAGCACCATATGAAAGTCAGCAGAGAGGGTGACAGAGTTATTGGGTGTTTAATTTTGATCTTCTTCCAGGTTACGGCCTCCGCTGCCACAGGGCCATTATCACCATCTGCCGCCTCATTGGCATCAAGGACATGTATGCAAGGGTCACTGGGTCTATGAACATGACCAACCTCACCCGGGGCCTCTTCCATGGGCTTGCTCGCCAGGTAACCCCCCCAGTGGAAAGGCGGAAGCACTGGCTTGTGTTCCAGACCGTGCTGTAGTGCTTCCTCCTTGGTACATCTCCACGTGGAGTAGAGGAATTCTAAGCTAGGTCCAGGCCTAGTCAGACAGCCCAGGGCTTCCACCTCCCAGGATATAGAACCTTGTTTATTAATGGTTATAGTTCAGTAACTCAGGTCAGTGTGCACTCTGTGGCTAACATGAAGACTGATTGTGCTCCCCCGAATGGAGGGGCTCTAGGTGCTTCACCAAGTCCAGCAAATAGGATTAAACTAGCAACTGGACTTTCTTTTTTTGGGGGGAGTAGTTTTTGAGACAAGGTTTCTTTGTGTAGCCCTGGCTGTCCTGGAACTCACTTTGTAGACCAGGCTGACTTCAAACTCAGAACTCACTGCCTCTGCCTTCTGAGTGCTGGGTTTAAAGGCTTGTGCCACTACTGCCCAGCTAGACTTGCTTTTGTCATTTTGGCATTTGATACACTGAGGGAGCTAGACCAAACATGTTTTTAATGATAGAACAGTATAATTACTGACTTTGTAAAATGCTGGAGTTTAAACTTGAAGAAGTCCATGAGGCATTGGTTTAAAAGTTACTTCAGGTAGGGGATTTAGCTCAGTGGTAGAACACTTACCTAGCACTGGGTTCGATCCTCAGCTCAAAAAAAAAAAAAGTTACTTCAGTAGATTTACTATCAGATGTAGCCATGGAAGCAAGAGTGGCATGTCCTCTGAGGTGGGAACCCTAAATTGCTGTCCAGTGGGGTCTGGCTCACTGTCCCGCCACCCCATATGGAAGGGAAGGTTTGTGACTCATGGTCCTTCCACCCCATATGGTTTGTGACTTCGAGGCCCTCCTGGTAGCCCTGTGACCATGGCCAACAGGTTTTCTTCCATCTTAGTTTGGTGTGGTGGGCTGTGGGCTGAGGTAAATCCCTGTGGACACATCATCTCAGTCAGCCACACACATTACCCAAATCAAGTGAAACAGCTACTTCACTTCCCCAGGCTGTTGAGGGTTCTCAATGCTGGCTCCTCTCTGGCTGACAGAAGCTTCTGATCCTTTAAGTCGAAAGTGTCCTTCACAGACCTGATCTGCTCTCCATTTGCCCTTTTCCAGGAAACTCACCAACATCTGGCCGATAAGAAGGGTCTCCATGTGGTGGAGTTCCGGGAGGAATGTGGTCCTCTACCTATTCTGGTAGCCTCCCCACAGGGGGCCTTGAGTAAGGAGCCGGAGCCAGAGCCTGAGGTTCCTGACGTCAAACTGGACTGGCAAGAAATAAAGGCCATGCAGGGGATGAAGCGCTCTGTGTGGTCTGGTTTAAAGAGATCTGCCACCTGAATGTCCCCAGCCTGGTCCAGCCAGTGCTTGGTGCTGGCCAGCACCTGGAAGAGACTCTACCCTACAATTTGATGTATTGCCTTTCTTTTTCTTTCTTTTTTTTTTTTTTAAAGAGAGTCCAACCTTCTTTGTTTTCAAATAAATAATTATAGATTTGATTTATTGAGCACATGGTATATAGCAGTCAGTGTGATGGGAATTCTATGTGCAAATATCAGGAGCAAGTCATTCATTTAAGCTAGTAAGTGAAATGGGAGAGAGCTAATAGACCAGTCGATAGTCATATGCACAACGGTCATTGCTGTGATAATTATAGATAATGTATTACTGAGTCATCCAAATATGGATGTTTTCAACTTCACTTTACAGAGCAGTGGAGTAACCTGACTACACTAGGCACCACCAGACGGTTTCCCTGGCAGCTGCATGTGCCGTTTATGTTCCGTTACTCTGGGTCTTTACACGATAGTTGTTCTGGTGTGTATCTGAAGTGCTGCCTGTCACCGTGTGACCATGAAGGCTGATGATGTTGAGTGTCCTCGTGGGCTTAGTAGGCATTCATGTGTGCTTTGGGTGAAATGTCCGTTCAGATCCTTTACACATTTAAAAAATTGGCTTATTTGTGTTTTTTTTTTAAAGATTATTTATTATGTATACAGCATGTCTGTCTGCAGGCCAGAAGAGGGCATCTCATTACAGATGGTTGTGAGCCACCATGTGGTTGCTGGGAATTGAACTCAGGACCTCTGGAGGAGCAGCCAGTGCTCTTAACCTCTGAGCCATCTCTCCAGCCCTTATTTGTGTTTTTATTATGAGCTGTAATTGTTCTTTGTGTATTCTAGAACAAATCTATGAGATTCAGCATACACTTGCAGTTGGGTCCTAGTTACTGGTTACCCCCAACCCCCCCTTTCTGATACTTGCCTTTAATTGGTGTTTTTAGGCTATTGACCTATAAAGTGGTTGTGATGTGGTAGAATCAGTGTCTTCCACTATCCGTTTTTCTCCTTCCCTTTTTTAGTAGTTACCCTGGAGTTTGCTGTTTATGTTTACAGCTAATTCAGCTCTCCCCTGGTAGCTAGTCTGCAGTAATGAAGGATTTAGTTCCTGCCCCCTCTACCAGATACCTGAGCGGTGCTCACTGAGTCATTGCTACGATCATGGTTTTGAGCAAACATCTGTTAGGCCAACTAAGAAAAGTTTAAGTTTTTTTTCCTCTCCGTAAGTCTGTTTCTGACCTACATCACTTCCTTTTTGTGTAGCTTAGCTTACAAGGCGGGTTCATCACAATAAAGCCCTTCAGTTGTTTGTCTGAGTCTCGGTCTCATAGTTTGAAGGATAGTTTTACAGGGTACAAAATTGTAGGTTGGTGAGGTTTCTCTTTGAACACTTTAAGTATTTTACTCCCATGGTTTCTGAGAAGTTGGGTGTATGGCTTATTTCTGCTCCTCCTCTATAGGTAATGTCTTTTCCTCTGTCTTCTTTGAGGACTTCCCCTGCATCTTTTTTCTTCAGCAGTTTGATGTGATGTGCTTGGGTGTGGGTCTTTGGATGCTTTTTCTGCTCCGTGTTCTCTGAGCTTCCTGGACCTTTGATGTCTGACAGTAATTGGCGGAAGTTGTTACTCCTTCGAGCATCTCTTCCTTGTGTTCCCATTAGTTTTGCTGCCCCCTTTGTTGCCTTACAGTTCTTTGATTCATCTTCCCCTCCTTTGTCCTGCTCTGTAAGTCTAATGATGTGTCTCCAACTAGAGGTCCTTGTCATGTTCAGTCCAGCAATAAGCCCATTAAAGATGCTCTCTGTTTCTCTTGTAGCATTCTGGGTGTTTTGTTTTTATTTGTTTATTCATATTTTGAGACAAGGTATGGTGGTTTAAATGAGAATAGCCCCTATAGGCTCATGTGTTTGAGTGCTTGGTCCTATTAGTGGAACAGTTTAGGAAGGATTAGGGAGTGTGGCCTTTTTGGAAGAGGTGTGTCGCTGGGGTGGACTTTGAGGTTTCAAAAACCCACACCAGGCCCAGTCTTTATCTCTGCTGCCTATGGATTAGGATGTAAAGCTTTCAGCCCTATGCCTGCCTGCTTAATGTCGTGCTTCCTGCCATGATGATGATGAACTAACCCTTTGAAACTGTAAGCAAGCCCACAATTAAATATTTTTGTTTGTTTATTTTTTTAAAAATAAAAGTAGCCTTGATCATGGTGTCTCTTCACAGTAATAGGACAGTAACTAAGACATGGGGTCTCATGTAGTCCAGGTTGGCTTCTAATTCTCCATGTGGCCAGAGCTGGCCTGATTGTCTGCTAAGTGTTGTGATTACATGGTGTGCAAGTATGCCCCCCTTAGTATCATACATCTTCCCCCACCCCCCTTACAGTACCAGAGATGGAGCCCAGGATGTTGAACAAGCTGAATGAGCGCTCTGCCACCGAAGGACACCCCTGGCGTGTTTCCACCTTCTTTTCCCCAGCATGGTTCTGATTCTTTCTTAGACTCTCCCTCTCTGCTTACATTTCCCGTGTGTTCTTTGATGTTGTCTATTTCCCATAGCACACTAACCTTAGTTGTGTTGAACATGCCTGGGCTGGTCACTGACATCCATCCCTGCTGTGTCTCGATCCCGCACTGTTCAGATGGTGCCTTTGCTTTCAGTGGAAGTTGTCCCTTGTTGCTGGGAGCTAGATGTGATGTGCTGGGTGAGGAGCTGAGGAAGTCGGCCTCAGGAAGTAAGGGGTGAGATGTGGAGGGTGGGAAGTTCTCTGTGGTCCTGTGGTTAGACCTCAGTCTCCTGGTGAGCCTGTGACTGGGTGCTTCTCAGTTCTCCCCTGTAGGTACTGGAGTATTCCCCTTCCCCAGGCCACAGCCTGATAAACCAGCAGTAGTTTGGTGTGCCAAGTACTTTCTCTTCGCTTGCCTAGCATGTTCAAGGCCCTGGGTTCAGTCCCCTGCTTATACATACGTACCCTCAAAGGAAATTTTTTTCTAGAGTTATATTATTCAAGGCTACAGATAGAAGCTAATTATTATGAAAGAAATACCTTTAAATAAGATACATTGGGAACATCGAAACTTTTTTCTTTTTAAATGGAATCCACAAGAAAATGGTTGGGACTGGTGGTTCTTGAAAGCAGAACCCTGTACTCTACTGTTAGCTGTGCCCCCAGACCTCTTGAATTATTTTTGCAATTTATCATTATTTTATTATTTCCCTGACCTCTATTTTATTAGTCTAATGTGTTGTTTCCTTATACCTGATAAGCTCACCTTTTAAAAATGTCATTTTTCCAAACCACTGACAGCTGTATTGACACTGGGTAAAAACTATTTTGCTAAAAATTGTTTTGACATTTAATTTTTCCCCAGTAACTTGGTAATCAAATGAAAAGAGAAATAGGAGTTTTTCTTGAGAACTAGGACTTGTCATTAAGAATGCTGTATTCCCTCCTCCCACTAGAAGCATGGTGAACCTGCTCAAGTGTGGGGGCCCTGTGGAGATCCACAGAGGTTTCTTAGTGAGAACTTACTCAGGGTCTGAGAATCTGAGCTTGCTTTACCCAGCCCGGCTGCAGAAGGGGATGATTTGATCACGGGCGTGGTTACCAGGTGTTTGGAAGGGTCTGCACTTGGCTGTGTGATGTGCTTTGATCTAGCAAGGGGGAGGTCTTTTGCCCCGCCCTTTGGCATGTTATAAAAAGGAATAAATGGAAAAGGCCATTGGGTATTGACCCAGGTCCTCCCGAAGCTATCCTGTGTTTCTGTCTGTCTCCTCTTCGCTATCTTTCTAATATTTTCTCACCCCTCTCTCCTCCTCATAAGAACCCTTGAAAAGGTGGGAGCTGGCCTCCCACAGGGCCCCTGTGACTAGTTACCTGGAGTTTGATGCCCAGCTTGTCAGTACAGCCTCCAGCAACCCATCAGCTCCTTTCTGCCTTCCTAAAATGTGCGGGGAAATGGGCTTAGGAACCCTACGTGTAAGTGAAATCAAAGCCCGGAGACAGACGTGCCAAGTGAACGGACTCATGCCCCCTTCCCAGCCCCTAGCCTTGGGACACTGTGATGTGTCCATACAGTTAATGACTTATCAATGGAGGAGTTGGGGAGTGACACTTAGCAGAGTAATTGTGTTGAGTAAAAGAAGCCGGGGTTCCTCAAAGTGAGATGTGGTTCCAGCTGTGGAAAGTTCCTGACATGAAGACTATAGTAGAAGTCAGGGTAGTGGTTGTTAGGATGGAAGAGGGTGTTACTGAGGGGTGTGAAGCAACTTTCTGGATGGTAGATGTCGGGGTGTGTGGCGATGGTTCCACAGTGCGTATAGACATCAAGACTGCCAAGAGGATGCTTTGAACACGGGCTGAAGGGTTCTGTTCTTGGGCTCTTGACTTACCCTCCCTCCAAGAATGGAGAGGCAGACAGCAAAGGGTGAGCAGACAGAGGGCACTTTGTTTGTTTTTTTGCCAGTCAGGAGTAACAATCCAAATGCAAAGGTAGATAGATATTCGGAGATCCTCTAGGGCCACAGAATGCCGGCTGGGAGATGTTTCCAGTGTGGTAGCTCCACCCTTAGCTAGCTTCTAGGTGTCAGGGAGAGACTGTTCTAAGCTCTTGGGGGGGTCTTGGCCTGCCGGGTGAGAGCAGTCCTTTGTGGAACCAGTCTGCAGAGAGCAGGTCCCCATTCCTGGGACATCGGAAGTCTTGTAGGTGAAGTGGCAGAATAACAGCCTTCAAGGCAGGAGCAGCCTTGAGGAAGCAGGAGCAGCATCCAGCAGGAGTAGGAGCAGTTCCCCCTGCTGTGGCAGGTCTCCTGCGGGTCTGCTTGGGAGTGGGTGCATGGGAGTATCTTCTCTGGGAGCCAGACTGAAATCTTCAGGTTTCCTCTGAAAAGAACTGCTTCCCACCCCAGCTGGGGGTCAGGACAGAGGCAGTGTGCCCCATTACACAGAGCCGGGGGGGTCCCTGATTTGTTGAGTGTGTGCAAATGGGATGTAAAATGGGACCATTGAGAAGAAAAGCCCAGTCCAAACCTGAGCGTGTCCTCAATGAGTGAGCCCTCTCCTCTCCCACTCTCTATATGCTGCATGGGAAATACTTGAGTCCTGCAGGGTTTGTGGGGGCTAAGTGCAGCCTACTGTGTTGGGGAGGTTTGGTGTGGGTTCTGTGT